TGGTACCATAATAGCAGTACATGTACACGTTATTGACATCCCCTCCAGCTGAGTTTATAACATATGATAAGTTTTCTCTTAGGCTGTACTTAACTACGGTTCAGTACTCGTATATCACTGTATGCTGCTTCTTGTAAAATGTAAGCCTGTGTTTTGAGTTTGAAGTTATGCTTAACCCGAAATGCTCTGCATAATCATGGGCTTTCTGCATGCTCAGCCAAATGTTACCCCATGAGTGCTAGCGCACTCAGCTCACACTGAGTGTCCCTGGTTCGATCCCCGGTACGGCTGGACACGTTAGCACGTGTTCCCTTAAGACACCTGCTGTCCATGTTCACCCATCAGTAAAATAGGTACCTGGGCGTTAGTCGACTGGTGTGGGTCGCATCCTGGGACAAAAATGACATAATTTGCCGGAAATGCTCAGCATAACATAGTAGTATGTCATTGATGTTAGCTCTGGTCTGTATAAGTTGTATCATGTACGTGTAGAAATGAAATTAAGACACATATGCAACATCTGGGTATCTTTATTGTAGACGTTAACGTCTACAATAAAGATACCCAGATGTTGCACATGTGTCTTAATTTCATCTTGTCGGTATTATATACCATTCTTGCATAACGTGTAGAAATAGATTAGTATTATTATTGTTATATTATTATTAAATGTTTTGCATATTAATGGCTTTCTTTTGTACCTACCTATTTGTTTACACGTTATCTACATTATTAGTACCTCATAAAGAAATTAAAAGCGTAATGTATGTGACTTGTGATGTTTATGTGGCTCTTGTGTTGTGATTTATGTGTGGTTCTTGTGTTGTGATTTATGTGTGGCTCTTGTGTTGTGATTTGTGTGTGGCTCTTGTGTTGTGATTTATGTGTGGCTCTTGTGTTGTGATTTATGTGTGGTTCTTGTTGTGATTTATGTGTGGCTCTTGTGTTGTGATTTATGTGTGGTTCTTGTGTTGTGATGTTTATGTGGTTCTTGTGTTGTGATTTATGTGTGGTTCTTGTGTTGTGATTTATGTGTGGCCTCTTGTGTTGTGATTTATGTGTGGCTCTTGTGTTGTGATTTATGTGTGGTTCTTGTGTTGTGTTCATGTGTGCTCTTGTGTTGTGATTTATGTGTGGTTCTTATGTTGTGATTTATGTGGTTCTTGTGTTGTGATTTATGTGTGGCTCTTGTGTTGTGATTTATGTGTGCTCTGTGTTGTGATTTATGTGTGGCTCTTGTGTTTGTGATTTATGTGTGGTTCATGTGTTGTGATTTATGTGTGGTTCTTGTGTTGTGATTTATGTGTGGTTCTTGTGTTGTGATGTTTATGTGGTTCTTGTGTTGTGATTTATGTGTGGTTCTTGTGTTGTGATTTATGTGTGGCTCTTGTGTTGTGATGTTTATGTGGTTCTTGTGTTGTGATTTATGTGTGGCTCTTGTGTTGTGATTTATGTGAGGCCCTTGTGTTGTGATTTATGTGTGGCTCTTGTGTTGTGATTTATGTGTGGCTCTTGTGTTGTGATTTATGTGTGGCTCTTGTGTTGTGAGTTATGTGTGGCTCTTGTGTTGTGATTTATGTGTGGCTCGTGTTGTGATTTATGTGTGGGTTCTTGTGTTGTGATTTATGTGTGGTTCTTGTGTTGTGATTTATGTGTGACTCTTGTGTTGTGATTTATGTGTGGTTCTTGTGTTGTGATTTATGTGGGCTCTTGTGTTGTGATTTGTGTGGCTCTTGTGTTGTGATTTATGTGTGGTTCTTGTGTTGTGATGTTTATGTGGTTCTTGTGTTGTGATTTATGTGTGGCTCTTGTGTTGTGATTTTTATGTGGCTCTTGTGTTGTGATTTATGTGTGGCTCTTGTGTTGTGATTTATGTGTGGCTCTTGTGTTTTTGATTTATGTGTGGTTCTTGTGTTGTGATTTATGTGTGGCTCTTGTGTTGTGATTTATGTGTGGTTCTTGTGTTGTGATTTATGTGTGGTTCTTGTGTTGTGATGTTTATTTTGGTTCTTGTGTTGTGATTTATGTGTGGCTCTTGTGTTGTGATTTTTATGTGGCTCTTGTGTTGTGATTTATGTGTGGCTCTTGTGTTGTGATTTATGTGTGGCTCTTGTGTTGTGATTTGTGTGGCTCTTGTGTTGTGATTTATGTGTGGTTCTTGTGTTGTGATTTATGTGTGGCTCTTGTGTTGTGATTTATGTGTGGCTCTTGTATTGTGATTTATGTGTGGTTTCTTGTGTTGTGATTTATGTGTGGGGTTTTTGTGTTGTGATTTATGTGTGGTTCTGGTGTTGTGATGTTTATGTGGTTCTTGTGTTGTGATTTATGTGTGGCTCTTGTGTTGTGATTTATGTGTGGCTCTTGTGTTGTGATTTATGTGTGGCTCTTGTGTTGTGATTTATGTGTGGCTCTTGTGTTGTGATTTATGTGTGGCTTGTGTTTTAATTTATGTGTGGTTCTTGTGTTGTGATTTATGTGTGGTTCTTGTGTTGTGATTTATGTGTGACTTGTGATTATGTGTGGCTCTTGTGTTGTGATTTATGTGTGGCTCTTGTGTTGTGATTTATGTGTGGTTCTTGTGTTGTGATTTATGTGTGGCTCTTGTGTTGTGATTTATGTGTGGCTCTTGTGTTGTGATTTATGTGTGGTTCTTGTGTTGTGATTTATGTGTGGTTCTTGTGTTGTGATTTATGTGTGGCTCTTGTGTTGTGATTTATGTGTGGCTCTTGTGATTTATGTGTGGTTCTTTGTTGTGATTTATGTGTGGTTCTTGTGTTGTGATTTATGTGTGACTTGTGATTTGTGTGACTCTTGTGATTTATGTGTGGCTCTTGTCTTGTTCAGTTTATCTGGTAGCGAAGTTACTTGTGGAAGCACAGGATACTACAGTACAAGCCTCACATCACACACTTTACAATACTGGCTCACTTAAACTTTTTCTATCATCTTTCTGGTCGCTGGTTCACTTAATTGCTCTCCAGCTCTCACAGTGGCTGACTGCTTACTTTCTAGCAGTTTACTCAGTTTACCTCGCCTTTGCTTTATTTAATCCCTAGGTATTAGCACATTGTAAAAAATACTTTGATGCTGTTGCAGCAACCAGTGAAGCAGATGAGCTGTGGTGTTTTAGTTGTTAAACAATAAGACACTTGCAACATTTGGTTATCTTTATTGTGAAAATGTTTCCCCAGTGGCTTCATCAGTCCAATATAGGGAAGAAAGGTGGAAAATGAAAAGGAGTCTGAGGTAATCAGTCCATCATCCTGGAAATGATTTGTTCAGTCCATGTCTTGATAAAAGTGCAGACTATAGGTATAATGTTAGTCAGGAAACAGGGCAAGTGTTTCTTGACATAGGTCTTAGTCATATGATGACCCACAGCTGGAAAAATCATGGTTATGATTATAACTGTTACTATTATTAGTGCAGAATATACACAGAGAAGAGCATATATACTGCAGACAGGTGAGGCAAAGCAGTTGTAGGTGGTGTCACTGGTGGAACAATCCACTAGTGGAAGTAGATCATGCCTACAGGATAGGCAAGCATTAAGAAATTTCCTGTATCTTTCCGAACCTATAGGTGTGACCTACTTCCGTTATTAAATTTCTCCACTGGTGATGCTGCCTACAGCTGCTTCAACTCGCCTGTCTGCAGTCTATAAGCTCCTTCTTTGTGTATATTCTACACTTTTATCAAGACTGAAGGACTGAACACATTTCCAGGCTGAGGGACTGATTACCTAAAACTCCTTGGCTTCAATTGTTCTTCCCCGTATTGGATTGATGAAGCCGCTGATTGGCGAAACGTTTCGACAGTAAAGATAACCAAATTTTGCTTGTTTTAGCTGTATTGGCCTCTTGATTCTGCAATGTACTTCCATCAGGAGCCATGCCAAGGCTTCCCAAACATTCCTCTGCAATTTTGGAGACATTGACTTGTTCTTGTTAAGTTCTAAACCTGTGTGGAGGATTAAAGAAGACTATATATACTTGATCCTCTTCTTGCAAAATGTTGTCACAATAAAATATCATATTAGTTACATCTGTGTTCTTTTACCTAACATTTTATTAACTAGTTTGCAGATGCACCTCTTCAATTAAAGAGCAAAACCAAAGAGCAGTATGAGGCTGCAGGACTGTAAGAAATCTCAACAATAATAACAATAATAATCTTTATTTCTATAAGCATATGGTACAACTTGTACAGACTTAGCTGACATCACTGACATACTATGTAGAAAGCCCCTGGTTATGCAGAGCATTTTGGGCAGTTAGGTTAATTTTGTCCCCAGGGTGCAACCCATCCCAGTCGGCTAACACCCAGGTACCTTCTTACTGATAGGTGTCTTAAGGAAACATGCCCTACAGTTAAGATAGGGGGAGCCTCAAGACTGTATAGAAACTGCAAATTCTTAATGCATCTGTAATACATATATGGTGAAAAGAGCTAGAAATATTGTTTTTCCAATACATTTGAACTTTTTTGCTTAGGTGACCAAAATAGTGAATAATCATTCACTTTCACTTGTCTGATTCTCTTTCTAAAAGTATAAAGACTAACAGAATTCAGATAAATTTCTAAAAGCTTTACAAATACAATATACTGTTATCATCTTTGAAGTTTTGCTAATTATATTTATTAGCTTTGTTGTTTATAGTGTGCTTTATTGGTACTATATTGTGTTTTCTGTCTTCTGAATGTCCTGTGTAATTATTCTCTGCATCTGAATTTTCTCTGCAGCTTAAGTTGTAGATTGTTATTATTATTTAATTATTAATGATTATTATTGTGTTATAATATTCATTTGAAATGTTAATCCTGTTGTGGTCATACAGTGACTGGTCAACTTGGAAAGGTAATGAGGTTTGATCCAGTGAAGGGGAGGATAACAGTAGTTATTGCAGTACCTACAATGTTATAGTAATAATTCAGGTTAACCCATAATTCCCTGAAGTAGTTATACTGTACCACAGTGTATTTAATTTACCATTTGACAGAGGAGGTGGCAAATGCTGTTGGACAAACAGGTGGTCGCTATGAAGGGGAGATTAAAAGGTTAAAAAAACTGACGGAACGCTTAGAGGCTGAGAAACAACACTATCGTCGCCTGTACGAGAGACAACTGGAGGTACAGTAATCGAATTACTTATAACTATTTTGACTTTTAGCAAACTGTCAGAGCGTATTGTAATAAATATGTGTGTTACACGAGGCATCGTTGACCCACATTGTTATGGGTTTTTGGGCCAGGAAATTCTTCACTTCATACAAAGGTAATGCATTTTTCAATTAGAATGATCTTTGTTGTACATGTTTACAGTGTTGTAGCAAAAAGTAGCTAACAGAAATTCCAACACGGATTGACTATAAATACAAAGGAAAAAAATGGAATTAGTATGAAAAGTAGTCTTGAAAGCAATCAATTATTTAGATGGTTTGTATGTGAATGGATATTATTAATGTCAAGTGTTTTCATTGAGAGAGAGAGAATGAGAGAGAGACAGTGAGAGAAAGAGACAATAAGAGAGTGAGAGAGAGCAATAGAGCAGCTGTATTCTAACAGTGTCATGATAAACACTTGCTGGCACTATATACTAGCCAAACCAGCATTGTGTTTAGTATTAAGGAGAATCTTCCATAAGTGAAGACGTGGAGTAACATAGGATTCTGTGGTTAACGCTCTCGCTTCACACGGCGAGGGCCTGGTTTCGATTCCCAGCCAGAGTAGAAACATTGGATGTGTTTCTTTCCACCTGTTGTCTATGTTCCCCATCAGTAAAATGGGTACCTGGGTGTTAAGTCGACTGGTGTGGGTCGCATCCTGGGACACTGACCTAATTTGCCCGAAATGTGGAGCATAACAAGGGACTTTCTGTATAGTAGTATGTCATTGTTATCAGCTAGGACTGTATACCCTGTACATGTACTTGTAGTAAAATAAAGATATTATTATTATATTATTATAATGTTTCTTATAATAAAAGAATGGCAGCGTTGAGCTTGTAAAAATTACTTGTCATTGGAAAGGTAAATATAATCAAAGTGTTTACTGTACATAACTTATCCCCCTATAATTTTTGCACTCTCTTTTGTCCCCTTTGCCTTTATACAAAGGAACTATGCATGCTCTCTGCCAATCCCTAGGAAGAGGGTAAGGTACCTAGGGATTGGCGGAGAGCATGCATAGTTCCTTTGTATAAAGGCAAAGGGGACAAAAGAGATTGCAAAAATTATAGGGGGCGGATGGATTTATGAAGGATGAGGTTAATCATAGAATTGATGAGGGAAAAAAGGTGAATGGTGCATTGAGGTATAGGTGGAGTCAAAAAACGTTATCTATGGAGGCAAAGAAGGGAATGTATGAAAGTATAGAAGTACCAACACTCTTATATGGGTGTGAAGCTTGGGTGGTAAATGCAGCAGCGAGGAGACGGTTGGAGGCAGTGGAGATGTCCTGTTTAAGGGCAATGTGTGGTGTAAATATTATGCAGAAAATTCGGAGTGTGGAAATTAGGAGAAGGTGTGGAGTTAATAAAAGTATTAGTCAGAGGGCAGAAGAGGGGTTGTTGAGGTGGTTTGGTCATTTAGAGAGAATGGATCAAAGTAGAATGACATGGAAAGCATATAAATCTATAGGGGAAGGAAGGCGGGGTAGGGGTCGTCCTCGAAAGGGTTGGAGAGAGGGGGTAAAGGAGGTTTTGTGGGCAAGGGGCTTGGACTTCCAGCAAGCGTGCGTGAGCGTGTTAGATAGGAGTGAATGGAGACGAATGGTACTTGGGACCTGACGATCTGTTGGAGTGTGAGCAGGGTAATATTTAGTGAAGGGATTCAGGGAAACCGGTTATTTTCATATAGTCGGACTTGAGTCCTGGAAATGGGAAGTACAATGCCTGCACTTTAAAGGAGGGTTTGGGATATTGGCAGTTTGGAGGGATATGTTGTGTATCTTTATATGTGTATGCTTCTAGACTGTTGTATTCTGAGCACCTCTGCAAAAACAGTGATAATGTGCGAGTGTGGTGAAAGTGTTGAATGATGATGAAAGTATTTTCTTTTTGGGGATTTTCTTTCTTTTTTGGGTCACCCTGCCTCGGTGGGAGACGGCCGACTTGTTGGAAAAAAAAAAAAAAAAAAGTCTGTTAAGTATACCTGGTAAAGTGTATGGTAGAGTTATTATTGAAAGAATTAAGAGTAAGACGGAGAATAGGATAGCAGATGAACAAGGAGGCTTTAGGAAAGGTAGGGGGTGTGTGGACCAGGTGTTTACAGTGAAATATATAAGTGAACAGTATTTAGATAAGGCTAAAGAGGTCTTTGTGGCATTTATGGATTTGGAAAAGGCATATGGCAGGGTGGATAGGGAGGCAATGTAACAGATGTTGCAGGTGTATGGTGTAGGAGGTAGGTTACTGAAAGCAGTGAAGAGTTTTTACGAGGATAGTGAGGCTCAAGTTAGAGTATGTAGGAAAGAGGGAAATTATTTCCCAGTAAAAGTAGGCCTTAGACAAGGATGTGTGATGTCACCGTGGTTGTTTAATATATTTACAGATGGGGTTGTGAGAGAAGTAAATGCGAGGGTCTTGGCAAGAGGCGTGGAGTTAAAAGATAAAGAATCACACATAAAGTGGGAGTTGTCACAGTTGCTCTTTGCTGATGACACTGTGCTCTTGGGAGATTCTGAAGAGAAGTTGCAGAAATTGGTGGATGAATTTGGTAGGGTGTGCAAAAGAAGAAAATTAAAAGTGAATACAGGAAAGAGTAAGGTTATGAGGATAACAAAAAGATTAGGTGATGAAAGATTGGATATCAGATTGGAGGGAGAGAGTATGGAGGAGGTGAATGTATTTAGATATTTGGGAGTGGACGTGTCAGCGGATGGGTCTATGAAAGATGAGGTGAATCATAGAATTGATGAGGGGAAAAGGGTGAGTGGTGCACTTAGGAGTCTGTGGAGACAAAGAACTTTGTCCTTGGAGGCAAAGTGGGGAATGTATGAGAGTATAGTTTTACCAACGCTCTTGTATGGGTGTGAAGCATGGGTGAAGAATGTTGCAGCGAGGAGAAGGCTGGAGGCAGTGAAGATGTCATGTCTGAGGGCAATGTGTGGTGTGAATATAATGCAGAGAATTCGTAGTTTGGAAGTTAGGAGGAGGTGCGGGATTACCAAAACTGTTGTCCAGAGGGCTGAGGAAGGGTTGTTGAGGTGGTTCGGACATGTAGAGAGAATGGAGCGAAACAGAGTGACTTCAAGAGTGTATCAGTCTGTAGTGGAAGGAAGGCGGGGTAGGGGTCGGCCTAGGAAAGGTTGGGGGGAGGGGGTAAAGGAGGTTTTGTGTGTGAGGGGCTTGGACTTCCAGCAGGCGTGCGTGAGCGTGTTTGATAGGAGTGAATGGAGACGAATGGTTTTTAATACTTGACGTGCTGTTGGAGTGTGAGCAAAGTAACATTTATGAAGGGGTTCAGGGAAACCGGCAGGCCGGACTTGAGTCCTGGAGATGGGAAGTACAGTGCCTGCACTCTGAAGGAGGGGTGTTAATGTTGCAGTTTAAAAACTGTAGTGTAAAGCACCCTTCTGGCAAGACAGTGATGGAGTGAATGATGGTGAAAGTTTTACTTTTTCGGGCCACCCTGCTTTGGTGGGAATCGGCCAGTGTGATAATAAAAAAAAAATAATAATAATGATAAATTAATAATTGGTGCAATCATTGCAGTATTTTTGTTAGTGTTTCACTTTATAGCTTCAAAGTGATCAGTGAGTCAAGTGAATTTTGTTCCCACATAAAGGTTCTGAAACATTACTTTTGGAGAGTGTAAAATTAGCCCAGACCGAGCCTTTTTTGCTACTTTGGTAGATTTAAAGGTCATTGATGTCCAAGATTGAAATTCAAATTATATTGACTATTATAACAATAATTACAACATGCTTATTGTAAAAGGTTACATACTCTCTTTAACTCTTCAGATTTTAATTTTGTGTTCAAGAAGTGTACTCTGTTACTTTAAGATTAAGACACATGTGTAACAGTTGGGTATCTTTATTGATGAAAAGTTTGTCTACACAGTATGCTTCTTCAGTCAAATACTGAGGGAGCAGTAATAATGAAATAAATATGATAGAATCAGTCTATCAACCTTGGAGAAAAAGTATTTGAGGAGGTCAGTCCCTCAGGCTGCTCCCTCAGTATTTGACTGAAGAAGCATACTGTGTAGGCAAACTTTTCATCAATAAAGATACCCAACTGTTGCACATGTGTCTTAATCTTCAACTTGCCGGTATTTTATACCATTTTCAACAATACTCTGTTACTTGTAGCAAAATTTGTCTTGCACATTGGCTTGACACATAATATATAACAAAGAACATAATGTACAGGTAGAGCAAGCAGCAGTGAGTGACCTACAAGCTGGTATATATATATAATAGTAGTGTTAGAAAATGTATCACATGCTATAAGCGATGCTGCTTTCTGATAGATATTTATGTCAAGGTCTAAACATGACCACTTGACTTTTATAGTGGCTGTGCTTTGTGACTTATGATAGCATAAACTTAGAGCTGAGCCCAATTTTTTTTATGCAACAAGTAGATGCATTCATGTGTGCATGCATAAGCATGCAGGCATGTGTGTATTCATGAGCATTCAGGCATGCATTATGTATTGGCAAGGATGACAGTTAATGTTGCTTGCACACTGTAGTCAAGTTAGGTTGTGCAGTTCATGCAGTATACACTTTTTTAAATTATTAAGTTCCTAATTTTTGAGGTTTGCTTTACCTTGTTTTTTTTACCTCATTGATCTCTACTTAGTTATTTTTAATCTCCTTATTTCTGATGTTAATTGGTACATGATATATGGCTTTTAAGAAACTCATGCTAACAGTTTCCTTATTATGCTCAGGAATCAGATATACGAACAAAAAGCGAGAGCTTACTGAGCCCAGGAGTTCTGTCGGCTGTTACGAAATCTCTAGCGAAGAGAGTTCCAAGTCTGAGCCCGTCTGCTTTAAGTACACCAGAAAAAACCACTTCTGGCTCTGCTGTAGGGACGCCTTCTTCATTAGGCACGGGGGTTGATGCTGAAAACTTGGAAGACAGTATGAAGAGGGTAAGTATCAGGACCTGGGTCATGCCTAAAGCTGATTAAATAGAACATTTACAAGCTTGTTAGAATCCATGCTTTGATGGAATAACAGTTGTTCTCTACATCTCTTACTCAAAATTGGAGAAGTCACAAAATTGCCAACAGGCACTCTACAATACTGTACCAACACTAAAATTGTTATTTGTAATGTATAAAAGTAAAATTACAGGTACAAATTAGGTTTACAGTACTCATTGAGAGTTTGCCATGCTCCGGAGTGCCAGGCTTATGCTCAAGTTATTTCATCTCGTCCTGCTACATGAACTGGTTCACAAGAGATTTTTAGAATATCTAACAGTTCACAAATGAGTGAAATTATTCACAAACATAATTTCAGACCAGAGTAGGACTTGAACCTGCATGTTGTGCATCAGAGTACACAGTACTTGTACCACACAGTCAGACCCCAGGTAAATATTGGCACCCAGCAGATGCCAGGCATTGTTTCCCCATACTCCAGAGCACCAGGCTTGTATTCAGGTTGTTTCATCTCATCCTGCTGCAATCTCTGGTCCACGAGAGATTTTTAGAATGCTTAACAGTTCGCAGTCGAGTGAAAGTACTTTTAATACCAACAACAAGATAAATGTAATTATTTTGTACAGTATGTTAATAATGGTAAAATTTTAGGTTATTTATCTATAATGAGGAAGTAGAGTTGTTGTAATGTTCTTGGTGATGGTAGTGAGATGAAGGGGGTAGTGGTGGTAATGATGACGATGAGGGCAAGGGTAATGATCAGGGGTGAGGACAAGGAGAGGTGATGAAGTGAGGGTGATGATTTAGGGTGAGGGTGACGGGTGATAATGAGGGACTGAGGATGATTTGTAGTGATCTTGACAAAACTCTTTGGGATGATTTCTCTTGTTGGCTCGGGGCATTTCTTTTAATAATTTGTATTTGAATACGCTCTTAATATTATCAGATTGACTCCTTCTGTAAACACCTCAGGCATACTATCTAAAAATTTTGTATTGGTTATTAATTGGTCTTTTTGAAATGCTCAGGCATGCTAGTGCCTTTCTTTGTACTTAACACTTTATAACTTGTAAATCACACATTGTAACCTTTGCAAAGAAATAAAAATTTGTATTTGTAATGATTGGATATGCATTGACAACTGATGTATATTAGTGCCACAGGTTTTACTCAGACTTTGTGACTTTGTTTGTGACTTTGTGTATTTTCTCTGCCTACATTGATAATGATAAAAATAATTTTTATTTCTGCAAAGTACAGTATACAATTTATTTATGAATAGTTGACACTAACATACTTCATAGAATGCCCCCTGGTTATGCAGAGCATTTTGGGCTGCCTTAAAATTAACTACCGGATGATTAATTTGATTTATAAGATTGCTTTGGTTTACAATCTTTGACATAAATACTTTGGTTTATGATTATGACATTTTTGGAATTTTTTGTTAAACAATTTCTTGGATTTTTTTTTTTTTTTTTGTAAAACGATTTTTTGTGCATGCATCTATAACCTTGTTTATTTTAACTTTTGATTTTGCTTCATGAATTGTGTCTTGTAACCAGTTTTATGCAATTTTGTGTATGGTAGAGCATATGTATCTGTATCTTGTATTCACCTGAATCTTGTATCCAAGCCTGTTGCAAGAAATGTGTTTTGTGATTCACTTGCTACATTTTGTATGTTAGATGTATTTACTGCTTTGCTTACATAATTCTGTTAGTTATGCATTTACTAGTTACAGAAAATTACTTTTGACATAGGCTTTCTTATAAGACTTCAAAATTCTTTTCATTTCCATAAAGTGCAAGAGATTTAGACTATCAGAGTATCATAGGCTTACTTGTACAGTCCAATGTGTTATTTACACAGAAGGGAATCAGACTAGCCTTGGCTGGTACAAAGCCAGCAGCAGTTTTTTCCATTTTGATGTACAGTGCTTGCTACTAACAGTGCAGTACTCTGGCTTTGACCCATTGTGCCTGGATAGGCATTGGACACCGGGCTTTCCTTTGGTGATTCAAAAGGAAGGCAAAATGCTAGCATGTTGCCATTTCACAAGAGCACAACACCAACAATTACACGTGCTCCTTGACTTACGATGGGAGTTATGTTCCGGTGAACCCATCGTAAGTTGAAAATGTCGTAAGTCGAACATGACCATGACATGATAAATAAACAAGTAAATAAATAACTCGCTGGATAAGTAAATTAACAAATAAGTTAATAAATAAATGAATACAAGTTTATCCTTTTTATAAAATATTAATGTGCTCACACTCCAACAGCTTGTCAAGTCCCAAAAACCATTCATCTCCACTCCTATCTAACACTTGTACCGGTTAACCAGACTTGAGCCCTGAAGGTGAGAAGTACAATGCCTGCACTCTAACGGAGAGGGTTATGATATTTGCTGTTTAGAGTGACTTCTAAACTGTCATATCTGTACACCTCTGGCCAGATAGTGATGGTGTGAATGATGGTGAAAGTGTTTCCTTTTTTTGGATCACCTTGCCTCAATGGGAGATGGCCAGCATATTAAAAGAAATAAATAAAGTTTTGCAGTTTTATTGCACCATCGTAAAGCTAAAACACTGTTAGTCGAACCATTGTAAAGCAAGAAGCATCTGTACATGTTTTACATAATGTGTATGTATGTCCTTCCTGATAAGTAAAGTAGGTCAAAAGAGCTCAGTTACCTTATTTAGTTTTTATTTTTGTCATGTGCATTTATCTCTTATTCATTACTGTATTCACATGAATTAATGTGGTCTGCAAATTGCTAAATTTTCACCAGGGTGATACTATATGCCCTTGTAGGTTTAGTGCTTCATGTTGATTATAATAATAGTTCACTAAGGTGAGCTTGGCAGCCTGACAGTGCTGAAAAGAATTTATTGTAATACACTGTATTATTGCTTAATCCAAGGACAGTCCAAATTGAGCTATTTTTATTACTACTAATACCAATGAAATACTGTATTATATATTAATTTTATGATGTTCAGACCGATTTTTGTGGAATTATTTCAGTATTAAATTTATGCTCGGCTTTAGCACAAAACAGTTACAATACTGAATGTGGTAAGTTGGCAAGTTGGGCTTCAAAAGCATGATTTACATGCATGCTGTATGTACAAGGTATACATATTCATGTGTATATGTAAAGTATTCTGTATATAGTATATTATACAAGATTGATTTAAGAAACACCACTAATCCTTTATTGACAATGTTTTACCCACACAGTGGCCTTTACAAAGTTTGTCAGACTATAAAGCCCAGTGTGTGGTTGTGTCGTTGTCAGTATAGCACCTCGTTATACTACATCTCTCTACATATGTTGGTATTTTATACCTTTTATCTCCATTATTGACTTGATAGAAGGATAGCATTATTCAGTGTTCTGTATGTATTTAGTACTGTATACTTAAAGAGTATATGTACAGTGAAACCCTTGAATTCACTTACTTTTTAATCTGCATGATTCCACTATGCTGTGCTTTTTTACTGAAGGCCATTTTGTAAATTCACCTATTTTCCTTGGTACTTATTTTATCTTTGCTTAGCACATGAATTCTAAATTGAAAATTTAACTAAACAGTAAAGCAGTATGTAAAGACAAATGGCCAAATATGGAAATTTTCTATAATTTAGTTGTGTATAACCAGGATAGTATACTGTATGTACAGTAGTCCATGAAAAATTCCAATAATTTGAACATTCAGGATTCGCATCATGACCAGGGGCTCAGCTCCAAACATTTCAGTTATAATTTCATATCTTTTGCTCAGTAGCTCTGAAAGCAAAACAACTTATAAATCATTTAGCAAGGAAGTCTGGCTGTGAGACTAGAATTTTTTTTTTGTCTTACAGTTAGCAGATGAAAGGTATTCTCCTCTGTTCTTACACTAAATCACCTACACTAGCTTAACAATACAAATAAATACTACATACTAATGAATAATTTATTTATGAAATTTTTGACATTATATGAATTTCAATCACCATTACATTGTCTCAGGTTGTACATAATTTTAAGTTTTGTAGAATATCTATGGTTCTTAGTTTTACAGCTGGAGTAATTAGCTTCTAGTGTGTTATTTCTCAATTTCTTCTAAAGGCCCAAGAAGATGCTGATTTATTACGATCATTGGTGGAGCCATTGGAGGAGGAAATTCAAGCACTTAAAGAGAAGATTCGAGCTCAAGATGCTCAGTTGAGAGCTCATGAGGCCCAACAGGCAGCTGCTCTTCATACTGCTGACCTTGTGGCACCACTCCTACAAGGCACTGATGCTGCACAGGTGGTCAAGCAACTTGATGAAAAGGTGAGCACAACTAAAGCTGCAATTGAATATTATTGGCTACAGTGGTATAATTGGGGTTCAGATCTAAAATAAGAAGGGGGAGGGTCATTTGATATGTCCCAACTTATAAATTCTCATTGTTCCTTGCAAATGAATTATTTGTATCATGGAACTTGCTTTCTTATGGGAAACAATAGTACAAATGTACAAAAGTTAGTTGTCACATATGTTTGTAACTGCAAATTGGTATGTATTTGTAAACTTAATATTTTTTAAATATTATCTCTTATGGACTTTGTTCGTGAGTGATATGCCTGAATTGCATCTACAGTGGAACCTCAAATTTCGAACGTATCGCTTATCGAACTCTTTGAAAATCGACCGCTTTTTTCGAACCAACTTTGTCCCTATTATCGAACTCGCCCCTATTTTTGAACTGCCGGGTACCGGACCTGTCCACCAGCCCACTCTGTCTGGTCCCCGCGCAGGCGCCATGAGCCAGACTGGCTTTGTTGATGCTTGAGTGAACACTAACTTGCGGTCTCATTCAAACATTTTACAATTAATTCATTGTGTTTAGTGCTTGTGGGACTGTGAAATAAGCTACCATGGGCCCAAAGAAACTTACTAGTGGTACCCCTGTGGTAAAGAAAGTGAGACACCATAGATGTGAAGAAGGAAATAATACAGAAGTATGGGAGTGGTGTGAGACTTGTTGAGCTTTCCAGGATGTATGGGAAAAACCAGTCGACCATCACTTCTATCCTGGCAAAGAAAGAACAAATCAAAGAAGCTGATGTTGCAAAAGGTGTTAATTTTTTTTTTTTTTTTTTTATTATCACACTGGCCGATTCCCACCAAGGCAGGGTGGCCCGAAAAAGAAAAACTTTCACCATCATTCACTCCATCACTGTCTTGCCAGAAGGGTGCTTTACACTACAGTTTTTAAACTGCAACATAACACCCCTCCTTCAGAGTGCAGGCACTGTACTTCCCATCTCCAGGACTCAAGTCCGGCCTGCCGGTTTCCCTGAATCCCTTCATAAATGTTACTTTGCTCACACTCCAACAGCACGTCAAGTATTAAAAACCATTTGTCTCCATTCACTCCTATCAAACACGCTCACGCATGCCTGCTGGAAGTCCAAGCCCCTCGCACGCAAAACCTCCTTTACCCCCTCCCTCCAACCCTTCCTAGGCCGACCCCTACCCCGCCTTCCTTCCACTACAGACTGATACACTCTTGAAGTCATTCTGTTTCGCTCCATTCTCTCTACATGTCCGAACCACCTCAACAACCCTTCCTCAGCCCTCTGGACAACAGTTTTGGTAATCCCGCACCTCCTCCTAACTTCCAAACTACGAATTCTCTGCATTATATTCACACCACACATTGCCCTCAGACACGACATCTCCAATGCCTCCAGCCTTCTCCTCGCTGCAACATTCATCACCCACGCTTCACACCCATATAAGAGCGTTGGTAAAACTATACTCTCATACATTCCCCTCTTTGCCTCCAAGGACAAAGTTCTTTGTCTCCACAGACTCCTAAGTGCACCACTCACTCTTTTTCCCTCATCAATTCTATGATTCACCTCATCTTTCATAGACCCATCCGCTGACACGTCCACTCCCAAATATCTGAATACGTTCACCTCCTCCATACTCTCTCCCTCCAATCTGATATTCAATCTTTCATCACCTAATCTTTTTATCCTCATAACCTTACTCTTTCCTGTATTCACCTTTAATTTTCTTCTTTTGCACACCCTACCAAATTCATCCACCAATCTCTGCAACTTCTCTTCAGAATCTCCCAAGAGCACAGTGTCATCAGCAAAGAGCAGCTGTGACAACTCCCACTTTGTGTGTGATTCTTTATCTTTTAACTCCACGCCTCTTGCCAAGACCCTCGCATTTACTTCTCTTACAACCCCATCTATAAATATATTAAACAACCACGGTGACATCACACATCCTTGTCTAAGGCCTACTTTTACTGGGAAATAATTTCCCTCTTTCCTACATACTCTAACTTGAGCCTCACTATCCTCGTAAAAACTCTTCACTGCTTTCAGTAACCTACCTCCTACACCATACACTTGCAACATCTGCCACATTGCCCCCCTATCCACCCTGTCATACGCCTTTTCCAAATCCATAAATGCCACAAAGACCTCTTTAGCCTTATCTAAATACTGTTCACTTATATGTTTCACTGTAAACACCTGGTCCACACACCCCCTACCTTTCCTAAAGCCTCCTTGTTCATCTGCTATCCTATTCTCCGTCTTACTCTTAATTCTTTCAATTATAACTCTACCATACACTTTACCAGGTACACTCAACAGACTTATCCCCCTATAATTTTTGCACTCTCTTTTGTCCCCTTTGCCTTTATACAAAGGAACTATGCATGCTCTCTGCCAATCCCTAGGTACCTTACCCTCTTCCATACATTTATTAAATAATTGCACCAACCACTCCAAAACTATATCCCCACCTGCTTTTAACATTTCTATCTTTATCCCATCAATCCCGGCTGCCTTACCCCCTTTCATTTTACCTACTGCCTCACGAACTTCCCCCACACTCACAACTGGCTCTTCCTCACTCCTTCAAGATGTTATTCCTCCTTGCCCTATACACGAAATCACAGCTTCCCTATCTTCATCAACATTTAACAATTCCTCAAAATATTCCCTCCATCTTCCCAATACCTCTAACTCTCCATTTAATAACTCTCCTCTCCTATTTTTAACTGACAAATCCATTTGTTCTCTAGGCTTTCTTAACTTGTTAATCTCACTCCAAAACTTTTTCTTATTTTCAACAAAATTTGTTGATAACATCTCACCCACTCTCTCATTTGCTCTCTTTTTACATTGCTTCACCACTCTCTTAACTTCTCTCTTTTTCTCCATATACTCTTCCCTCCTTGCATCACTTCTACTTTGTAAAAACTTCTCATATGCTAACTTTTTCTCCCTTACTACTCTCTTTACATCATCATTCCACCAATCGCTCCTCTTCCCTCCTGCACCCACTTTCCTGTAACCACAAACTTCTGCTGAACACTCTAACACTACATTTTTAAACCTACCCCATACCTCTTCGACCCCATTGCCTATGCTCTCATTAGCCCATCTATCCTCCAATAGCTGTTTATATCTTACCCTAACTGCCTCCTCTTTTAGTTTATAAACCTTCACCTCTCTCTTCCCTGATGCTTCTATTCTCCTTGTATCCCATCTACCTTTTACTCTCAGTGTAGCTACAACTAGAAAGTGATCTGATATATCTGTGGCCCCTCTATAAACATGTACATCCTGAAGTCTACTCAACAGTCTTTTATCTACCAATACATAATCCAACAAACTACTGTCATTTCGCCCTACATCATATCGTGTATACTTATTTATCCTCTTTTTCTTAAAATATGTATTACCTATAACTAAACCCCTTTCTATACAAAGTTCAATCAAAGGGCTCCCATTATCATTTACACCTGGCACCCCAAATAAAGACTGCAGATAATCGATCAGGTTGAGAAGTTGTTGCTGGTGTGGATCAAGTTATTTTGTGAGACAGGGGTCCAGTGACTCAAGCTGGTCCTAGTGGCATTAAAAGACAGAGAAGGGAAGTAACCTCAGAGAGGGCTTTGATACCTAAAGTCCTTATGGAGGGGTATTCCCCTTCCAAACACTAACCCCAACTCCCTCTCTCCTCCTCCCTATCTTCCAGATGCCATTATCAATCTTCAATAAAGGTAAGTAAAAATGTTATTTTATAGTATGTTTATTTAAATTTATTAATAATTGTACACTATATTTGTTGTGTGTATGTAAAACTATCATGTAATGCTATCTATAAATGTATTTTTTTTTTTGTGAATATTTTTGGGTTTCTGGAATGGATTAATTGTATTTCCATTATTTCTTATGGGAAATATTGCTTCGCCTTTCAAACTTTTCAAATTTAGAACTAGCTCCTGGAACAGATTAAGTTCGAAATTTGAGGTTCCACTGTACATGGAGTTTTCAGTATCATAGTTTTTCACAGCTTCCATTATTTCTAGCTGAAGGGTGTGAGCAGTACTCTGGAAGCAGAGAAATCATCCAGGGCAGATTTAGAACTGTATACAGCCATTCTCAACACTCAGAAGACTGCTCTCACTGATGAAGTTGACAGAATACGCACCCAACTCACAGAGCTGAGACAAGTACGTTCTAGCTGTTTACTTGAGTAGAAAGACTAGCAATATTTTTAACAATTCCTATGTGGTTAGCCAGACTTGAGTCCTAGAGGTGGGATGTAAAATGCCTACACTCTAAAGGAGAAGTTTGAGATACTGTTTAGAGTGACATCTAGACTGTTGTACCTGTGTGCCTCTGCCAAGACAGTGATAGTGTAAATCATGGTAAGAGTATTTCTTTTTTGGGTCACCCTTCCTCAATGGGAGATGGTCAGCATGTTAAAAAAATATTTTTAAGAAGCTTTCATTTAGTCTCACATGATAGAATAGTAGTATGTTCCTGGAAGGCTGCTGTCTACCAACTTTCTAGGGAACTTTTACTTTACACTTAATGGGGCTGTACTCTGGACTCCTTTTCCCCCTCTTCCTGTACTCTTCACCTTGAATGTATATGGGTGAAACTGAGTAATCATTTAACTACTCCTATCATTCATCTATATCCTGTAGCCTTTTCCAATCCTTTATATTATAGTTGAGAAATACTAAATAGGATGTACAAATATTGGAAAGCTATTATGATACTATAATTCCTTTGAAGTTTGAGAGACCCTTTAGAACTAGTGGCAAGGACAAGAGGACATTCTTAAATTGCATAAGTTAGAAAAAGGTTAAAAAGTAGTAGCTTTTTTTTTTTTAACACGTCATCCATTTCTCACTGAGGCAGGGTGACCTAAAAAAGAAAGAAAAAACTTTCATCATTCAACGCTTTCACCATCACTCATACATAATCACTAACTTTGCAGAGGGACTCAGATACAACAGCTGAGACGTCCCTCCAAACTGCCAATATCTCAAACCCCTCTTTTAAAGTGCAGGTATTGTACTTTCCCATTTCCAGGACTCAAGTCTGGCTAACCGGTTTCCCTGAATCCCTTCACAAAATATTACCCTGCTCACGCTTCAACAGCTCATCAGGTCCCAAAAGCCATTCATCTCCATTCACTTCTATCAAACACACTCATGCATGCTTGCTGGAAGTCCAAGTCCCCCGCCCACAAAACCTCCTTTACCCCCTTCCTCCAACCTTTTTGGGGATGACCTCTGCACCACCTTCCTTTCTCTACAGATTTATGCGCTCTCCAAGTCATTCTACTTTGTTCCATTTTCTCTGAATGACCAAACCACCTCAACAGTCCCTCTTCAACCCTCTGACTAATACTTTTAGTACTCCACACCTCCTAATTTCCACACCGTGAATTCTCTGCATGATAGTTATGCCACATATTGCCCTTAGACATGACATCTCCACTTCCTCCAGCTGTCTCCTCGCTGCAGCATTTACATCCCATGCTTCACACCCATATAAGAGTGTTGGTACCACTATACTCCTGTACATTCCCTTCTTTGCCTCCATGGATAACATTTTTGTCTCCACAGATACCTCAGTGCCCCACTCACCTTTTTCCCTTCATCAATTCTATGGTTAACCTCATCCTTCATAAACCCATCTGCTGACAAGTCAACTCCCAAATATCTGAAAACATTCACTTCTTCCATACTCCCTCCCTCCAATGTGATATCTGATTTTTCTTTATCTAAATCGTTTGATACCCTCATCACCGTACTCTTATCTATTTTTTTTAAGTAAGTTTACTAATTTTTATGAGACTATGCTTGTGATATTGCCTTAATAGGACATTTTTCCTCTTATTGCATTGTACATTTTTATTTCAAATTTAGAATTGCCTCTGCATTGTAATGTTTACCTATTTACTTACCCAGATGTATGAGACAGAGCGGCGCCAGCACCGAGACTTGAAGCACACGTGGCAACGTGCTAACGACCAGTTCCTAGAGACTCAGAGACTCCATCTTGCTGACATGAGGAGAATGCAGTCTCTCTTGACTGTTGACCAACAGAGAAGATTGGAAGGTAATTTCTAGTTTTTAATCACTGAAAAATTATTATCCATTAATTTTGTAGTTCTTGTCAATTATTCACTCTGTGGTATGCTAACAATTGTGTAATCAAAACTCAAAGGAGTTGGTAGATACTGTATTGTTTGAAAAAATTCTGTGTATCATTATCCCATAATAATACAAAACTGTATCCCCTCAGTCTGGTGTTTTAACACACTATTTTATCCATCACAATGAAATAGTCAGAAATCATTGCATTACTGATTATGCATTGGTATATATTAAAACACAAGGAAGTTCTTTAATGCTTGATGTAATACACTTCCAGATTGTTGTCATTTATCATCATGGGGAAGCACTGCACTTATAAGAGTCATTCAGTGCCTGTAATGCATGTACAACCTCTTAATTTTTTTTTTTTTTTTGGTATGTGATGTAATACAATACTGCTCTATTTTGCTTTTAGGGCGATTAGTAACAGCAGAAGATTAATCAAATTCGTGATGTATAAACTGCACTGATTGGTTGAGTAATAAGATGGGAAGGGAATAACGATAAGCAAGAGACATTAAGAACATGGTGACCAGCAAGTGGCACTGTGACACTTGTGTTATTAGATTGTTTTCAGTTATGCATTTTAGATGTTCGTCTTTCAGCATCCACACCTGAGCACAGATGAGATCATCTTAGCCTACAGTAGTTGTTTCTTCTCACAGACATACAGAGGAGCGAGGAAGTAATGGCTCGAACTCCCACTATCTCTCTGACTGACACTCCAGCAGACACTAGACAGGAAGCTAAGCCAGCGTTTCCTCACCTGGCATCTCTTTCTCCTGCATCGAGAAAACGTGGTTCTTCTCCCTCCCCGGAAAATGAGGTACGGTCTTTTGATCTTTGTATAATTATTTTTTTATATTTTTTTTTGGGGGGGGGGGGGGCACATTAGTTGAAGTATTTTATACCTTCTGATTCTTCTTCCATAACAGATTTTTTTTTTTTCAATGCACTGGCCATCTTCCATTGAGGCAGGTTGGCCTAAAAGGAAAAATGAAAGTTTTTCTTTTTACTTTTAGTAATTTCTTTTGTTTTCTGTCTATAGTTCCTTCATGGAAATTAAAACTATTTCTTTTATTTGCAGTACATATAGTGATATTAGAATTTATTGAGCTTGAGAGGTTAATTTACTTAGTGTTGAATAATGTGCAACTGATCCTTATTAATATCCTATAGACTCCTTAGTCTAAATAAAAGATGTATACAAATCATATAATTGTTCTTAGCTGTAAATGTTCTGTCTTTTTGTAATGGCTTTAAACAAGTATTGAGGATTGAAGCATCTGGGATAGAAGCAATCATGGCACACTATTTGTGCAAGAATGTTGCAGTATCAAATGCTGCAAGAATGGTGTGGCAAGGGTGCTGCTCACAACTCATGAGCAGCAAGATCACAACCAATATATTTAAATCTCTTAATTACCAAATTGTTGTAGTGCTTTGTGAACAAAATAGTGACCCATGATGTATGGTTTATTATAAATACTTGTGTACGAATGGTATATAATACCGACAAGATGAGAGTAAGACACATGTGCAACATCTGGGTATCTTTATTGTAGACGTTTCGCCATCCAGTGGCTTTATCAATACAAATTCCAGGACATAACTTGAAGACAGTAGAACTATGTACAGAAGATGAGGTAATCAGTCCCTCAACCTAGCAGTAGGTGCGAACAGCACCTACTCCTAGGTTGAGGGACTGATTACCTCATCTTCTGTACATAGTTCTACTGTCTTCAAGTTATGTCCTGGAATTTGTATTGATAAAGCCACTGGATGGCGAAACGTCTACAATAAAGATACCCAGATGTTGCACATGTGTCTTACTCTCATTATAAATACTTATTCTCTGTTTCACTGGGCAGATTTATAATGAAGATAGCATCTTTAATGGGTGTGGCTTAATTTATCACACACATTGCACTCTTAATAGAATCATGGTATTAATTATAAACTTGCACATAGTATTGTGTTGCCAGGTGTTGCTTCATTTTATGTAAACAAACTTGACTGTTATGCAGTATGCTTCAAGCATTCTACATAACTCTCTCCCTTTGTTTTTCCTTTTTCTTCTGTCATTCTAAACCCTAATTTTTTGTGTATACATGGGAGGGAGTGAAGAAGCTGTACCTCCTAGTGATGTGTCACTGCTCACAGTTTTGTCGTCATTACTATTTGTCTGAGGGCATTTCAATACCTGCTGGACAGGTGTTGTGTGCAAGGGGCTTTGACATACAGCAAGCATGTGTGAGCATGTTAGATAGGATTTAGTGGAGACTAATGGTTTTTGGGACTTGACAAGCTGTTGGAGTGTGAGCAGGGTAATATTTTGTGAAGGGATTCAGGAAAACTGGTTAGCTGGACTTGAGTCATGAAGGTGGGAAGTACAGTGCCTTCACTCTAAAAGAGGGGTTTGACATTTGTCATATCTGTGTTCCTCTGGCAAGACAGTGATAGTGTGAATGATGGTGAAAGTAATTTTTTTTGGGTCACTCTGCCTCGGTGAGAGATGGCCAGCATGTTAAAAAAATTATCTATACAGTAGTTAGATTTCTGCACAAGTGGAATAAAATTCATGTGCTTAACCCTTGTTCAAGACCTTGTAAGTAACAGTAGCTTTCTTGCTACTCCAGACACACAAATATTGAATTAATGATGCTTAACTATCCTATTTCTTTTAACATGGCAAACAAAAATGAAGTCCACTTTTCTTTTCCATACTCAATTTAACTTCATGAGAATTTATTCCTGTACAGTCTTATAATCTCTCTGAGTTAGTTGCTGTTTTATCAGTAGTCAGTCACTTCTCTATTACTTGCAGTCTTGTTAGGTAAATGGACACAGATGCCACTAATGTGACATTTTATTGTGGCAACAATTCGCTCTCCAGGAGCTTTGTTAAGTCTTTACAAAGCTCCTCCAGAGCAAAATGTTGCCACAATAAAAATGTCACATTAGTTGCACCTTTCTTCTTTCTTTCAACACACCTGCCATATCCCACCAAGGCAGGGTGGCCCAGAAAGAAAAACAAAAGTTTCTTTTTTTAAATTTAGTAATTTATACAGGAGAAGGGGTTACTAGCCCCTTGCTCCCGGCATTTTAGTCGCCTCTTACAACACGCATGGCTTACGGAGGAAGAATTCTGTTCCACTTCCCCATGGAGATAAGAGGAAATAAACAAGAACAAGAACTAGAAAGAAAATAGAAGAAAACCCAGAGGGATGTGTATATATATGCTTGTACATGTATGGGGTTGTGTGACTTAAATGTAAGTAGAAGTAGCAAGACGTACCTGAAATCTTGCATGTTCATATGACAGAAAAAAGGACACCAGCAATCCTACCATCATGTAAAACAATTACAGGCTTTCGTTTTACACTCACTTGGCAGGACGGTAGTACCTCCCTGGGCGGTTGCTGTCTATCAACCTACTACCTAGATTAGTTGCATCTGTGTCCATCTATCTAACATTCTGTTGGTTATTCTGCCATTAATACAAATACAAATATTTATTCTTTTGCATAGTATACAATGTGAGATATACATGTTCTAAGATATTGTTAGCACAAAGAAAGCCACTAGCATGCCTGAGCATTTGGGCAGACTGATCCTAATGAGTGCAGACTCCTAAAAACTAAACATAGACCAGGGAGTAGTAAATTTTAATTGTGCATTCTTTGAGTTATTCTAAAAGAGAGGTAGCAAAAAGTTTATAATTAATAAGATTATAATAAAGAGGTAGAGAATTTTTTTTTTTTTTTTTCAACAAGTCGGCCGTCTCCCACCGAGGCAGGGTGACCCAAAAAAGAAAGAAAATCCCCAAAAAGAAAATACTTTCATCATCATTCAACACTTTCACCGCACTCACACATTATCACTGTTTTTGCAGAGGTGCTCAGAATACAACAGTTTAGAAGCATACACATATAAAGATACACAACATATCCCTCCAAACTGCCAATATCCCAAACCCCTCCTTTAGAGTGCAGGCATTGTACTTCCATTTCCAGGACTCAAGCCGACTTATGAAAATAACTGGTTTCCCTGAATCCCTTCCCTAAATATTACCCTGCTCACACTCCAACAGATCGTCAGGTCCCAAGCACCATTCGTCTCCATTCACTCCTATCTAACACGCTCACGCACGCTTGCTGGAAGTCCAAGCTCCTTGCCCACAAAACCTCCTTTACCCCCTCTCTCCAACCCTTTCGAGGACGACCCCTACCCCGCCTTCCTTCCCCTATAGATTTATATGCTTTCCATGTCATTCTACTTTGATCCATTCTCTCTAAATGACCAAACCACCTCAACAACCCTCTTCTGCCCTCTGACTAATACTTTTATTAAACTCCACACCTTTTCCTAATTTCCCACACTCCGAATTTTCTGCATAATATTTACACCACACATTGCCCTTAAACAGGACATCTCCACTGCCTCGAACCGTCTCCTCGCTGCTGCATTTACCACCCAACCTTCACACCCATATAAGAGTGTTGGTACTACTATACTTTCATACATTCCCTTCTTTGCATCCATAGATAACATTTTTTGACTCCACATATACCTCAATGCACCACTCACCTTTTTTCCCTCATCAATTCTATGATTAACCTCATCCTTCATAAATCATCGCCGACACGTCAACTCCCAAGTATCTGAAAACATTCACTTCTTCCATACTCCTCCTCCCCAATTTGATATCCAATTTTTCTTTATCTAAATCATTTGATACCTCATCACCTTACTCTTCTATGTTCACTTTCAACTTTCTACCTTTACACACATTCCCAACTCATCCACTACACCTTTGCAATTTTTCTTTAGAATCTCCCATAAGCACAGTATCATCAGCAAAAAGTAACTGTGTCAATTACCATTTTGAATTTGATTCCCCAAAATTTAATCCCACCCCTCTCCCGAACACCCTAGCATTTACTTCCTTTACAACCCCATCTATAAATATATTAAACAACCATGATGACATTACACATCCCTGTCTAAGACCTACTTTTACCGGGAAGTAGTCTCCTCTCTTCTACACACCCTAACCTGAGCCTCACTATCCTCATAAAAACTCTTTACAGCATTTAATAACTTACCACCTATTCCATATACTTGCAACATCTGCCACATTGCTCCTCTATCCACTCTATCATATGCCTTTTCTAAATCATAAATGCAATAAAAACTTCCCTACCTTTATCTAAATACTGGTTCACATATATGCTTTAATGTAAACACTTGATCTACACATCCCCTACCCACTCTGAAACCTCCTGCTCATCCGCAATCCTACATTCTGTCTTACCTCTAATTTTTTCAATTATAACCCTACCGTACACTTTTCCTGGTTACTCAGTAAACTTATTCCTCTATAATTTTTACAGTCTCTTTTGTCCCCTTTCCCTTTATATAAAGGGACTATACATGCTCTCTGCAAATCCGTAGGTACCTTCCCCTCTTTCATACATTTATTAAACAAAAGTACCAACCACTCCAACACTATATCCCCCCCTGCTTTTAACATTTCTGTCATGATCCCATCAGTTCCAGCTGCTTTACCCCCTTTCATTCTACGTAATGCCTCACGCACCTCCCCCACACTTACATTCTGCTCTTCTCCACTCCTAAAAGATGGTATACCTCCCTGACCAGTGCATGAAATTGCTGCCTCTCTTTCTTCCTTAACATTTAAAAGTTCCTCAAAATATTCTCGCCATCTACCTAATACCTCCATCTCCCCATCTACTAACTCCCCTACTCTGTTTTTAACTGACAAATCCATACTACTTGCTGTCATATCTTCCATTATCCTCCATTCATGTGTAAACCATCAGTAATTCTCTTAACCCACTTATCACTAGGGCTTTTGTTGAGGGTACCATTTGTTGCAATATTTCATCTTGCATTCCCAGTCAAGGAATTTCAATCAGTTTGACTAAAGTTAGTCTCCTATAATTACTATGTTATCCTGCCTTGTAGCCTTAACAGTTTCCTCCCAGAGTAATCTCTCTCATGGTCCTTATCCAGGTTTGGGGGATTGTATATTACTTCCTGTATATCATTACCCTCCAAAATATTCTACTGTGTATGCTTTTTCAGTTATTGAATTATTTCATATTTACATTGACTTTTATTTCATTGCAGATTGACGATGACCGTTCTTCATCCTTGCTTGACCTTGATGAAGAACCTGCTGCCCTACTGCCTGCTGTCTCTCACCTCACTCATGGGTAAACATCATCACTCCTACCTACCACAGATTAAATCCAGTCTTTTCCCCCCATCATTCCCTCCCAACAATGAGACCTGGTTACAGACTGGACCACGGGGATGTTGACCCCCGAAACGCCTTCCAGGTATACTCCTGGTATACACTGGCTGTATCCCACTGGTCGTATCCTGTATCAAGGGTTTTGTCATAGTTTCAATCAAGTTTATGTACATCCTCATAAATAAGGTGAAATAAGTATAAGATATTGGGATAAAAATGGGAGAAACAAATATTTAGGAAGTTATTAAGTACTCATAAAAGAATATATTAATAGTAACAAGACTAAGGAGGGGGATATTTTCTGGTTTTTATGCTGTGGTTCTGTAGTCCAGTAATAGTCAGAAAAAATTGACAGCATCTGTGATGGGCAGCAAGGAACTCTACCTACTTAATGTTCTTGGGGTATTGTATTTTATGCTGCTGCTCATGAATCTATCTTATTAGTATAAAATTTGAAGGCATATTTATTTGTCAGGATGACCACAATATTGTGGACTTCGTGAACCTTAAATTGTTATAAAATGAAAGAAAGTAACTGCATTCCAGATAGGGCAGTTATTGAATATTATATGTGTGGATTAGACATTACCATAATAATTTTAATATTGTTTAAGGAGAATAGTGGTCTTTGTACTAGTCTCTATCATGAAATTCAGAATTCAGTAGGAAAAGGAATGTGTGAAGTCTCTAAGGACTGTGATTGGTGAGTGTAATGACATAGTGTATGATAGTTACAGTTCCTTGTAGTGTATGATAGTTACAGTTCCTTGTACTGTATGATAGTTACAGTTCCTTGTACTGTATGATAGTTACAGTTCGTTGTAGTGTATGATAGTTACAATTCCTTGTACTGTATGATAGTTACACTTCGTTGTAGTGTATGATAGTTACAGTTCCTTGTACTGTATGATAGTTACAGTTTGTTGTAGTGTATGATAGTTACAGTTCATTGTAGTGTATGATAGCTACAGTTCCTTGTAGTGTATAATAGTTATAATTCCTTGTAGTGTATGATAGTTACATTTCCTTGTAGTGTATGATAGCTACAGTCTGTTGTAGTGTATGATAGTTACAGTTCCTTGTAATATATGATAGTTACAGTACTTAATTAAGTTTTAATAAAAAAACACTATATGATTATCTCTTCCTAAGTAGTAGGTTGGTAGGCAGCAACTGCCCAGGGGGGTACTACCATCCTGCCAAGTGAGTGTAAAACGAAATCCTGTTATGGTTTTACATGATGGTAGGATTGCTGGTGTCTCTTTTCTGTCTCAGAAACGTAAAAGATTTCAGGTATGTCTTGCTACTTCTACTTACACTTAGGTCACACTACACATACATGTACAAGCACGTATATATACACCTCTCTGTGTTTTCTTCTATTTTCTTACTAGTTCTTGTTCTTGTTTATTTCCTTTTATATCCATAGGGAAGTGGAACAGAATTCTTCTTCTGTAAGCCATGCATGTCGTAAGAGGCAACGAAAATGCCGGGAGCAAGGGGCTAGTAACCCCTTCTGTATACATTATTAAATTTAAAAGGAGAAACTTTCATTTTTTCTTTTGGGCCACCTGGCCTTGGTGGGATACGGCCAGTTTGTTGAAAGAAGAAGATTATCTCTTCATAATTTCATAGTAACAAAAGAATATGATAGTAAAATAACAATTGACAGCCTAGATTGTTCCATTTGAAGATTCTTCTAGAGGGGATACCTTGATGCCGGTGAAGGGTTCTTGATCCAAGGAATAAGTACTGCCTCCTTTACCTGGGGTCAAACCTGATTATCTCCCATTCCCTATGTACTGTACGATTCATATGAGTTGAGTACCTCCCCATTGTGACCAAAAAAAAAAAATTCTAGTTGCAAAGGATATGTGAAAAAGTGCAATGAAAGTTGGTCCAACTCTGTTACTAATGGTTTTACTGTCATCTGCTTATTTATTATTTAATACTTTCATTTAGTGCTGTATGGCCCTTGTGGGTTTAGCAGTTAGTTTTGGTTGTAATAATAATAGCATTTTCATTGATAGTGGTGAAAGTATAAATGTGGTTTAAGAGTAATTTGTGAGGCTCAGAATGAGAAATATTGAAAGTGAATAATTCTGTTTAAAAATTTAAAGTGTGAAAAAGAATAATTCTTAAATAGGAAGATTGGTGTGGCATTGAAGTAAACAATGAAAATCAGGAATGGGCTTTCGTGCGGTGCTGCTCTTGTGAGTAACGGGCATCAATTCTATGTGATAGGAGTGAGCAGAGTGACGATCAGAGCAGTGAAGCAGAGACACGCAGCCTCCCACCTGACAGTCTTGTCCCTGACAGTCTTGCTCCTGACGGTGTTGGACCTGATAGTCTGTTGGCAGAGCGTTTTAGTCCAGATAAGATGCCCCAGTTAACGCACGATCAGCAGAAAGCTCTAGCAGGTGAGCATTTTGCACTGATGATTATAGTGAACTCTGCAAACCCTTATATGATGTAGTAGTTACATTTTCTAACAATGTGTTTTAAAAATTGAAGAACATCTGGGATAAAATTGGATATGTTCTTAGACTCAAATCAAGTCTCTTTGTTTTTAAACAATATTGTTCAAGAAGGTTTGGAAATATGTTGCAGTTTTTGAACTGTATTATCAGTATGCCCTTGGCAAGTCTGATGGAGTGAGTGATGGTGAAAGCATTTCTTCTTTTTCTGGTCATCATGCCTCTGTGAGAAACGACCAATGTATTAACAAAAAAGAAAATTCATTTTTCTTTAGGGTAGGGTGAGTCAAAGAATTAAACGCATTTGCCATGACTCGTTCAGTAGCTGTCTTACCAGAGATGTACAGACATGACAGCTCAAATGACCCTATAAGGTGCAACATTCCTACCCATCCTTCAGATATTTATACAGCAATAAACATATATGCTCTACATAACTGAAAGTTGTTTGATTTTTATAAATTGTTTCTTTAAGTTAACATAAATGGGTTGTTGAAATATAGGGAAATTTCTTCTCTCAACTTGGCAGCTGTTTCACCATTAAATTATCGTTGTTACTTGGTCGATTTTCCCAGACTGGCAAAAAAATAGCAATAAAGCAAATCTTATTGATACAATAATATACCACATTTATGAAATGGATTATGATGAGGAATGTAATGTCTTCTTATAAAGCTGTTTATTCCATAATATGTGTACAAGTAGCATATTATTATTTAATTTTTTTCAACACTCCTGCCATATCCCACCGAGGCAAGGTGACCTATAAAGAAAAACAAAAGCTTTTCATTTTAAATTTAGTAATTTAGCATATTATGTATACAGTATATAATTCTATTGGCAAGTCTAACACTTCTATGGGGCTCTTTAAGTCTGTCAGGGAGAAAGTGGCCAGTTTCTTCAAAGTATTGAAGAGGACAAGAGGAGTCTACTCTATTTCCTGCTCCTTTTGTCCTCTTCAATACTTTAGAGGAACTAGCTGCTCTCTTTCTGACAGAGTTAAAGAATATGTAATTCTATTTCAGACATGACACCAGATTCTGAAGGTATAACCCAGAGTGAGTCTCTTATGTCCCCTGCTGAGGATGATTACATGGCCATTGAATTTTTGCCAAATTATGGGGTAGGACAGAGTGGGTCACTCGGGGTGATGGGTGGCAGACGGGTGGTCAGCGAGGCAGAGTGGAACCTCTTGAATGAAGAGATTCGTCGTGCCAGATCTCGCATTGGACGATCCTGCCAGTTGTGTGGGACTTACCAGACACAACTACAGAAGGTAGGACATGTGTATACTATCGGGCATTTTGTTAAAAAAAATTTATGTTATCTACCCAAAATCTAAATAAAAATTTACTTAATGAACTTTATTAAGTAAAGCCTGGAAAAGTTAGTATTTGGTGCAGTGTTGTGTGTGTTCCTTCCAGAGTAAGTGGGTGCAGCTAATACAGCTCTGCTGGCCATTCTAACTTCACTACATGTTTTTTTTTTTTTTTTTTTTTTTTTCTTTTTAAAATATGGCAAAAAGTAAAAAAAAAAAAATGATCCTACCATGTGTGGAGATGGTTAATGATAATGTGGTTCTATGTTCACAAACATGCAGCTGATGGACTTTGCCTTTCTCTACACAATTTTCTATTTTTTCAGAGCACCCAGACTTTTACTCTTATTCCTTTTCTCAAGTGCTCCAGCATCACTAGTATTCCTATTTGTGCTATGGTTAATATCCATAGATAAGACAGAGTGATAAAAAGATTAAAATTTGAGTTTTAAACACAAGGGTGAGTGCTTACATCAGATAGCCAAGCTTCCAGTATGAAAAGTGGCCATTTCCACTGAATGTGGTAATGAAAAAAAAAATTTCAATCACAATAATAATAATAAGGTGTGTGATACAAAATGTGGCGGCTTCTTGTACAAAAAAAAGATTAATATATTCTGTATTTTGTAGGTTCAGAGCGAGCATCGAGAAACAGAGAAGCAACGAGCAGAACTAGATAAAGCACTTGCACGATACAAGGATGATTTAGACAGAGAGGCTTCCTATAGACATGTTATGGAGGAAAAATGGCGAGTCATGGCAGAAGAATACGAGAAAAAAGTAAGTTAATTGTGCCACGTGTGAGTGAAGTCTTGCAATATTTTTACTTGGATTTCTTCATTATGATGAGCATACTGGATTATCACAGGTATGTAGTGTTGGTGTGTCTCTGGCAAAACAGTGATGGAGTGAGGGATGATGAAAGTGTTTTTTTCTTTTTTCGGGTCACCCAGCCTCGGTGGGAAGGGGGCGATGTGTTAATAAAAAAATATAGTGCTCTGAGAAATGTATTTATAAGACTGAATTTTTGCAGGTGGCAGGTGTAGCAAGCATAGTTGAATCAGCCTCAGTGAAGCATAATGAGGTGGTAGCAAGATTCAGAGCCTCTGTGACAAACTTACACGATCAGCTGAAAGTACTGACAGAGCGAAGAGAAGCAATTCAGCAAGAACTTACCAGGTTGGTTCTTAAGCTGGAAAGTGGGATGAATACAATGAAGTCTTAGGTATTCAAGAGCTGTTTTTTTATTTTGTATGTGTATTTTGGATGAACAAATTTGGATGAAGCTGAGGTGGAGGCAATATTGTTGTGAACGCAGCCCCCACATACATAGCTGTAAAAGTGGTCAATGTACTTTGAGGAATACAACAGATAATTAAAATGTTTTGCATTAATAGTGTGATCATGGGAGCATTTGAGAATGATTTAAAATGGGAAAAAGGTGGGTATGCATCTCTGGCAAGACAGTGATAATGTGAATGATGGTAAAAGTGTTTCTTTTCTGAGTCACCCTGCCTTGGTAGGAGACTGCCAGCATGTTAAAAAAAATATTAATGTTACCTATTTTTTATAGACTGCAGAAGGAAAATGATGACTTGGTTGGTAAACACAGTCAACACTCTCAGCAGCTTCAAAATGAAATGATTAACCTTCCTAACAACATGGAGGTGAGTAACACACTCTAGGGTGATTGATGTGCAAGACTCTGAGAATGTTTATATCTTGTGTAACTTTTCTAACTTTGAGTACTGTAGTTTGTCATTGTGATAGGTTTTATTTCCTGTACAGGAACCTGTGTATGATCCTGCCTTAGTGAGATATGGCTGGTTTGTTGAAAGAAGAAAGAATGGTAGTTCAAATCAGTTGAGATAGGTAGTGCTTTGACTGTGTTCCATCTGACCTAAATGACTTCATAAATCTTTGGAAAATTTCAGTTAAATGGCATTACAGTACAAATCAAATAAAAACTTATATTCTCCCAGTGCTTGTTGTCATTTTTATCTTGTAAGGTCAATTCCGGACAGTGTATGTACATGGACTTGTCAAGGAAGCAGGACCAAGAGCTAGAGCTTATCCCTCTCAAATTCAAGTAGAAATTATAAACCAGTATTTACACAAAACTACTCCCTGAGCAAGGAAAAGATTACAAGCTGCAAGGCCTTCATTGGCTGATAGGAAAAGAGGAGATATGATAACCAAATTTAAAGCTATTAACCCTGCAAGTGGCATTTAGAAATATTTAAACATTTAAGATTAACCTTGTTCAATTTTTCAGAGTACTCTAAGCTTCACCTGACAAATTCCAGTTTTCTAATCTTTAAATTTGGTTATCATATCTCCTCTTTTCCTATAAGCCAATGAAGGCCTTGCAACTTGTAATGATAATGTTTTCATGGTGCATTTCAGGAGATGCAACTTCTCTTGCTGAGATATCGTGAGGATATTATTGCTGCCAAAGTCTCTAAGGAGTATCTGGAAGAAACTCTTAAGTCTGAAATACTCTTCCTTAAAGATCAGGCAAGTTTTTGCTAAATATTCAAGAGATACAATGAAGTGTGTACAGTACTTTAATCAGTCTGTTGGAGTTGCTACTGCTAGATACTAGTTTGAGGGCTAGATATTTGTTCATACAGTGTCTTTTGAAGCTACTGATACAGTAAACCTTTAAGTTAATGGACTTTGGAAATTATTTTTTATTATTATCACACTGGCCGATTCCCACCAAGGTAGGGTGGCCCGAAAAAGAAAATACAGGACAAAATCTACTGGGGGCCACTTAATTCTGGGTCAGTGGACAAAGTCTGTTGGTTACAGAATTGTCAGTTATTATGTTCATGTCAAAACAGTCTCATCAGTATCCTCCACAGTCACCATCACCAGCTACCTGCTACCCTTATTAGTCCCTTAAATTGAAGGTTTCCTGGTCATTATTCTGTAGAAGAGAAAAAATTGAGCAGAATATATAAGGTTGTCAAAAGGTAAACAGGAGGGAAAATGAACGTCTTCAGAAAACAGAAGTGATGTACAGTATAAGCAGTTATTAGAAGAAAAGTTTGCTAGTGTTAGAAAGTGAAGTAGAAAGATGTGTGGATGTTAGGAGGGTCATAGTGCAGTGTGTGACAGGAGGGTTGGTGCATGAGGCAAGACCAATCACTGTACATGGAATGATGTGAAAACACTGGTAAAGGTGAAAAATTTGGCGTGTTATAGAATTCATCTCAATAAAAATGATAAATGATGAATTATATAGAAAATACAGAAATAATTGAGAGTGAAAGAGGAAATGAAGGAATGGGTGAGGTCTTATCAACAAACAAAAATGATGGGGAAAATTTTTCTCCTTTTGGTCCACCTTGCCTCAGTGGGAGACAGCCAGTGTGTTAAAAAAAAGAAAGGAAAAGGTCATATGATGATTAAAAAAAGCATAACCCAGGGCAAAACAAGAGTTTTAGATGTGTAGAAGGAACAGACACAATAGGCTGATGGAGGGTGTATAGATCTGGCATGGATAAAAGATAGGAAAAAAGAATGAGAGGTATACAGGTGTTGTCAGGTGTTGGCAAGAGGTGTGGGGTTAAAAGATAAAGGATCTAACACAAAGTGGGAGTTGTCACAGATCCTATTTGCTGATGACACTGTGCTTTTGGGAGATTCTGAAGAGAAGTTACAGGGGTTGGTAGATGAGTTTGGTAGGGTATGTAAAAGAAGAAAATTAAAAGTGAATATAGGAAAGAGTAAGGTGATGAGGATAACAAAAAAATTAGGTAACAAAAGATTGCATATCAGATTGGGGGAAGAGAGTATGGATGAGGTGAATGTATTCAAATATTTAGGAGTGGACGTGTCAGTAGATGGGTCTGTGAAAGATGAGGTGAATCATAGAATTGGTGAGGGGGAAAAAGGTGAATGGTGCACAGAGGAGTCTGTGGAGTCACAGAACTTTGTCCATGGAAGCAAAGAAGGAAATGTATGAGAGTATAGTTATACCAATGCTCTTATATGGATGTGAAGCATGGGTGGCAAAGGTTGCTTGCAACAAGGGGAAGGCTGGAGGCAGTGGAGATGTCATGTCTGAGGGCAATGTGTAGTGTGAATATAATGCAGAGAATTCATAGTTTTGAAAGGAGGAGGTGCAGAATTACCAAAACTATTATCCAGAGGACTGAGGAGGGGTTATTGAGGTGCTTCAGACATGTAGAGAGGATGGAACAAAATAGAATGACTTTGAGAGTGTATAAATCTGTAGTGTAGGGAAGGCGGGATAGAGGTTGGTCTAGGGAAGGTTGGAGGGAGGGGGGTAAAGGAGGTTTTGTGTGTGAGGGGCTTGGGCTTTCAGCAAGTATGTGTGAGTGAGTTAGATAGGAGTGAATGAAGACTAATGGTTTTTAGGAATTGATGTGCTGTTGGAGTGTGAGCAGGGTAATATTTATGAAACCAGCAGGCCGAACCTGAGACCTGGAGATGGGAGGTACAGTGTCTGCACTCTGAAGGAGGGGTGTTAATGTTGCAGTTTTATAATTGTAGTGTAAGCATGCCTCTGGCAAGACAGTGATGGAGTGAATGATGGTGAAATTTTCTTTTTCTGGCCACCCTACCTTGGTAGGAAATGGCCAATGTGTTAATAAAATTAAATAATACAGAAGTAAAATTTTTAGCATCCAACAGTCTTTTATGAACAGCTTGTATTGAGAGCTGAAGCAAGTGACCCATGGGAGTTGAGATTCTGTTAGCCAGATCAAGATAATATCTGTGAATAGTTAGGAAAACTGACTAGTGTGTAAATTTTGGTGTTTGTCAAGTAAAGGGCTTAATTAACCTCTGAATGTTGGGTGAGGATCTTGTGGACTGTGATATCTGTGACCTTGAAATGCAGCTAGGGATATTCTTCTCTGAGTCACCCTGTTTAGCAGATAAATGGCTATGCTTAACAGAAAGGAAGAGAAAGAGAATAAGAATGAATGAATGAATGAATTATTTCACCCATGAGGATGTAGTGCTGAGTGAAGGGCCAAGTATCTTACTGAGAATGACAGAGTACTTCATTAACAGTACCTTGGTTGCTAAATATATAATGCTGAAGTTCTAGTAGTGAGCAGATGTGATCCTGAGCTTCATCTTATTGGTAATGCTAATTTTAAAGTCTGTTTAGTATTTTTACTAATGTCAAAATTTGTACACTAAATGGGAAATGATTAATTTTACTAATTAAAGTTTTTATTCCAGGTTTTAGCAGAACAACATGAAAAAAACACAATAGAAGACCGCCTGTCTTCAGAAATTGACCAATTAAGGTAGGCCTTCAGACTATTGCCTTACCTTAACTACCAACAACAGTCAGACATTTAAATTAGTGCTGTGATTGCAATGTGAGGATTAAGATCTTGCTTTTTTTAGGGACAAGAAAAATATTTACTATAAGATGAAATGGATAAATTCTCATTGATGAGAGGAATAGGTTGATTAGTGTAGGAAAACTGTGTGATGGTATTTGTATAGTGGGGCCCATTGAAAGATGTGGACAATAAGAGTTGCACAGCAGATGCTTAGTGTTGTCTAATAAAAAAGTACATAGATGGGTTGATGTATAGTATATTTGAAATATTAATAGATGAAATGTATACCATGATGTTGAAACATGAAAGACTTGTGGCAAAGGTTATGTATGGCTGTTAACCATTGTGATAGATTAATACAAGAGAAACTGTTAGATGATGCTGGGATAATGGAGCCTTCAAGTCTGTCATGGAAAAATTGAGACACATGTGCAACATCTGGGTATCTTTATTGTAGACGTTTCACCATCCAGTGGCTTTATCAATACAAATTCCAGGACATAGCTTGAAGACAGGAGAACTATGTACAGAAGATGAGGTAATCAGTCCCTCAACCTAGCAGTAGGTGCGAAGAGCACCGTAGTCGTGGAGATTCTGAATCGACTACGGTGCTCTTCGCACCTACTCCTAGGTTGAGGGACTGATTACCTCATCTTCTGTACATAGTTCTCCTGTCTTCAAGCTATGTCCTGGAATTTGTATTGATAAAGCCACTGGATGGTGAAACGTCTACAATAAAGATACCCAGATGTTGCACATGTGTCTCAATTTCATCTTGTCGGTATTGTATACCATTCTTGCACAACCTGTCATGGAAACTTTGTAAGACTGTATAATACTATTTCAAGAACTGGGTTGTTAAAATAGTTCTAGTCTTCCCTTTTTATATTTTATAAAAGGCTGTATGTAATTAGTTTGGAAATGTAGTTAGTAGGTTTGCACAAACATAATTAAAAAATAGATTAAAAGTTAAGATGTAAACAATTTAAAAATGGTGTAAGGGTTTAGCACTTTGAAAATACTATCGTAATAACAGTGAGAAGCATAAGAATAAGAAGACGACGAAGACAAAGTCTTAGTCGTAGTTGAAGGCAAAGTGATGGAGAGACTAAGACAGAAATTCAAACTAAGGAAAAAACTTTATTTTATGACACATTACCCACAGTGAGCTTTGTTATGTACTTGATAAGATAAGGTTTACCTCTTCTTAACTTATGTCATTGTCACACAAACTGCCTCTTCTTCTTCTACTACTACTACAACTACTGATGAAATTAAGACAAATGTGCGGCGTCTGGTTGTCTTTGTTGTGGACGTTTCGCCATCCAGTGGCTGGCTGGATGGCGAAACGTCTATGATGGGGATGCCCGGGTGTTGTGCATGTGTCTTAATTTCATCTTGTCGGTATTATATACAACTCTTGTACTACTACTACTACTACTACCACCACCACCTCTTCCTGCCTATATATAGCCGTCCTGCTCCACCTCTGGTTAGTGTGACTTTGTCAATGGTCCAAGTCAGACCGAAACGTCGTCGTAAGCTTCTCTCTTTTATGTGCGGGTTATTTGTGTATCGTTCCAGTCACGGTATTGTGCCTTTTTGTTATTTATGTCATTGTCGTCTGCTACTACTACTAATAATAATAATAATAATAATAATAATCAGCTCATCCATAAGAAGATCTATTACAACTTTCACTGGATCAGGCTGGATTTCTGATAATGGCAAGGCAAAGTGAAATTAATAGTTCATATTGCATAAAGCATATAAATCTATAGGGGAAGGAAGGCGAGGTAGGGGTCGTCCTCGAAAGGGTTGGAGAGAGGGGGTAAAGGAGGTTTTGTGGGCAAGGGGCTTGGACTTCCAGCAAGCGTGCGTGAGCGTGTTAGATAGGAGTGAATGGAGACGAATGGTACTTGGGACCTGACGATCTGTTGGAGTGTGAGCAGGGTAATATTTAGTGAAGGGATTCAGGGAAACCGGTTGTTTTCATATAGTTGGACTTGAGTCCTGGAAATGGGAAGTACAATGCCTGCACTTTAAAGGAGGAATTTGGGATATTGGCAGTTTGGAGGGATATGTTGTGTATCTTTATACGTATATGCTTCTAAACTGTTGTATTCTGAGCACCTCTGCAAAAACAGTGATTATGTATGAGCGTGGTGAAAGTGTTGAATGATGATGAAAGCATTTTCTTTTTGGGGATTTTCTTTCTTTTTTGGGTCACCCTGCCTCGGTGGGAGACGGCCGACTTGTTGAAAAAAAAAAAAATTATTATAATCAAAAAGAAGTGCTAAACCACAAGGGCTATACAGTGCTGCAGCTTGCAACTAGAATTTGTACAGAGCCTTGAAATTAAGTCCTTTATTCCAAGATATCATATATGACTTCCAGCAGGCGTGCATGAGCGTGTTCGATAGGAGTGAATGGAGACAAGTCGTATTTGGGACCTGATGATCTGTTGGAGTGTGAGCAGGGTAATATTTAGTGAAGGGATTCAGGGAAACCGGTTATTTTTATATAGCCGGACTTAAGTCCTGGAAGTGAGAAGTACAATGCCTGCACTCTAAAGGAGGGGCTCGGGATATTAGCAGTTTGGAGGGATATGCTGTGTATCTTCTTATGTATATGCTTCTAAACTGTTGTGTTCTGAGCACCTCTGCAAAAACAGTGATTATGTGTGAGTGAGGCGAAAGTGTTGAATGATGATGAAAGAATTTTCTTTTTGGGGATTTTCTTTCTTTTTGGGTCACCCTGCCTTGGTGGGAGACGGCCGACTTGTTAAAAAAAAAAAATCGTGTATGACAGCCAAACCAAAACTTCACATTTTATATTCAGTATTTTGAATTCTGTGTGGTGTTGCTATATTATTTAATGTTATTTATTCACCCTGCCTCGGTGGGAGACGGCCGACTTGTTAAAAAAAAAATTATTCATTACCATCTCATTATTTAGTTATTTTCAAACTAGGAACCATTGAGTGGGTTGTTGCATTTATGTAAATATAGAAGTATTTTAAGATTTTTGCAATGTCTGTTTTCTTCTGTAGCAAGAGTAAGCAACATTGTATGAAGATTGGTTGCAGTGCAAGAGAGAAATATTTAAATAATTTTGTTCTTTATCTATTAATAGAGAGAAGGTTGGTCTACTGGAGAGCCTAGAAAGCCAAATGAAGATGGAAAGGAGAAGTAGATCTGAGATTGATGCTCAGCTGAAGGAATTGGAGAACAGACAGTCTGAGGCCCAACTTAAAAACCAGCAGATTATATCCGCCCTCAAAACCCAAGTGGCAGAGCAGACACAGGCCAGGGTTTGTTATACAAAATACTATTTCCTTTGGCTCTAGTCATATTCCTCAATGTTCAGTATATTTGGTACTAGCTACTTGGTACCCCAATCATCTTCTTGACACTAATTTCATAGGAGTATTATCTGAAAGTTTACATGGTAATCTTGGTAGTTAGAGTTAAAGGCTACCAAAGATGCAAAGCATTTTTGTTATTTGATTTAAAGTAAATTTTGTTTAGTTAAGATTTTTGCTTGCTCATGGAAAATGAAAATAGTATAGTTTACTCAATGGTGATGTTACATTCTCCAAAATGGGTTCTAAACAGAGCATCGAATTGCATTTTCAGCTACGTATTTCATTACTTGAGTCCTGGAGGTGGGAAGTACAGTGCTTGCACTCTAAATGAGGGGTTTGGGATATTTGCTGTTTAGATGAACATCTAAACTTGTATCTGCACGCCTCTGGCAAGACAGTGATAGTGTGAATGATGGTAAAAGTGTTTCTTTTTCGGGTCACCCTGCCTCGGTGGGAGGCAGCCAACATGTTAAAAAATATATGAAGGCACAGTGGTACCCCAAGTTTCGTACACCTCCCAACTTGAAGTTATGTAAGTGTATTATTGTAAGTGCTTTTGTAAGTGTATTTTTGGGGGTCTGAAACAGACTAAGCTAATTTACATTATTCCTTATGGGAAAAAATTGTTCGGTAAGGGCACTCGAATAGCCTTCTGGAACAATTTATGGCCGAAACTCTGGGTACCACTGTATTACCTATGTTATGTACATATATATGATGCAAACCTGCAGAAAGATCATGAAAAAATTTTTGAGTGTAAAAGACTTAGCATAAGTAAGAGTTGTTTAATGTTATAAGGGATCACATGAAGCAGTAATGTGTGTGAAGATTTGTCTAATTTCAGATGACTTACATGACACCTTAAATTGTGTTGGACAGGCTAGGCTGGAGGCTGAAGTGGTGGAGCTACGAGGAAGGGTGTCAACTCTCCAGCATGACCTGGACACATCTGAAGCAGTGCAGCGGGATTTTGTCCGCTTGTCACAATCGTTGCAAGTCCAGCTGGAGAAAATAAGGCAGTCAGAGAAAGAGGCAGGTGTTCCTCTAACATGAGTTAGAGTCTAACTCATTTACACTGAATTCTTGTGCATTGCTAGGTTCATCATGAAACATTTTTTATTATTATTTTGTTGAGATTACAAATAATTTATTATTTATTATCTGGGTTTCTTATTTTTTGCTTGTCATGTTTGCATATATCACATTACCTCAGTAGGAGGCAGCAATCCAATTCTGAAAGACTATGGTAGATCAAGGCAATTATTCTGGCACTACTCTGGCACTACTCTACTTAGTTTTTGTGGCAGTGGTACTCGCCTAGGATTCTAACAAGCAAGATATTTTTGTTTTTGTGTAGACTGACATTTAATTTTTAATTTGGTTTTCAGGTACGTTGGCAACATGAGGAGGACCAGGAAGAGTGCAATAGTTGTAAGCAGCGGTTTTCTGCTGTTGGCCGGAGAAAGGTAAAACTCCAAGAGTCGTTTATAATACTTATGTTAAGAGGTATAAGTAATAGGTAGGGTGTAATTGTGTTACTGATTCTGTGACATCTCAACTTTCTGAACAACAAGACCAAAAAAAGTATGTTTCTCTGGTCACTGTACAAAAATCATGCAGTTTGGAGGGATATGTTGTGTATCTTTATACGTATATACTTCTAAACTTGTATTCTGAGCACCTCTGCAAAAACAGTGATTATGTGTGAGTGAGGTGAAAGTGTTGAATGTTGATGAAAGTATTTTCTTTTTGGGGATTTTCTGTCTTTTTGGGTCACCCTGCCTCAGTGGGAGACGGCCGACTTGTTTTTTTTTTTTTAAACATGTTATAGCATACAGACTTTGTTAACAGGGATCTAGGCCACATTTTGCTACAAAAAATTTAGATACTTTTAATCTTGTTTGAAGAATTTTTGATGAATCAGTAAATTCCTCTGTTACTTTATTCTTTGTGTTGTTAATGGTGTATCCCTGTATGATCACTTGAGTGGTTTTTAGTCTAGCTCTTCCTTTAGTTAGTACTGTATGTGAAATTAGTTTTGTACAGCAATATATTCATAAAATTTATCAAATTTTGTTATTAATGATATAGTACACTTGTTTATAGCAGTTATTGTTTGTCTAATTTTTATTACTTTTTTTTTCAGCATCACTGTCGTCATTGTGGGAAAATCTTCTGTGTTGAATGTGTGAGCAAAACCGTGCCAAGTGGACCTCATCGTCGTCTTGCTAGAGTGTGTGATGTCTGCCACACACTTCTGGTGCAAGATGCCACTCCTTACTTCAGCTCTGACCCTCCTCATTCACCAGACTGACCTGCTAAGCCCTCAGTCACTTCACACTTACCAGATGCAGTAGGCTGATGTATTATGTTACTTCCCATATCTCTCATCATGCAAGAACACTACACTACACTACACACACCACCACTATACTTCTTACTTTATTTCCTGTTCCATGTGTACCTCTTCAATATTAAAGTGCCATACTGGTGTGGTGTAATTTATCCATGCCTCCGCTCTGCTGCTAAATTCTTTAGACTTTCTTCATATATTGTTATTATTTGAGTTGTTTCCTAGTTAATCATGTAATACACAGTCATTTTTGTATAATAAACAGGTTAATTACAATGACCTGAATTTAACAATGTAATTTGTACTTTTGCACAAGAATGAAAATTGTTGGTTATCTAACATTTTGATTAATTTGGAAGAATGTAATAATTTATTTATTATTGCACAGGGTGTCATAAGAGGTAGACAGGGAATTTTTGGTAGCTTTAAATATCACTCGAAGTGTTGGCAGACATCAGTTTTGTTTGTCTGTTTACATAAGAAAACATGGTCAAAGTTTTAAGCTTCCCTTGTGTAAACTTTCTCCATGTACCTAGTCTCTTCTCTGCCTTATAATATATCACTCTGATACCCTTTACTGAATACTGTATTACTAAACATTCCCTTCCAAAACAGAGTGAGACTTTGTGTAAGGGTGAGTCCTCACAAATTATGCAATATTTCTTAGAATGACCTTCATTTTGTCTAACATGGACTAATTGATCATTCCAGTGAAGTTGAGTGATTTCTAGCCCTTCAATTCAGAGTGTACATAGATTGACTAGACTGTTGTATAAAATTTAGCAAACTGATCAGCAATTGGCACTCCATTTTCCTATCATGTTGATAGATGGATGGTAAGCTGTAATGGATTTAAATTGTTTCATAATGGGTTGGTCACCCTGCCTGAAGGTGCGATCAATATGTACAAAGTGTATATTTCCCCGATTTCAGGTGTTGGGGCTGCAAAGTTTGTTTTATTGTACCATTTCCCTCTGATATTTATGACATCCTAATGGTCCTTCCCATTATATATTTTATGCTAAATATTTACCTTTATAAAGTGGAAAGTTTTATATGGTTGTCGAGTGCTTTAGCTTAAAAAAAAATGCTTATTGTTATTGGTGCATCTGTCCTGAAGGGTTTCAGGAAGGTTAGCAGCAACTATTGTGACATCTAATGTCTTTATAAATTAAAGGAAGCATGCTAGGCAAGGGCAAGAGTGTGTATAGTGTGCAAGGCTACAGATGAAAAGATCTCACTTTTTTTTTTAAAACCTCTCTTTTTATGTTTTCTCTTGTCTTTTATGGTCTTTTTCCCACCTCCATTTCATTAAATGATAGGTGCTCTAGATGGCAGTATGGTCACAAAGGTAATATTCTTCACATTATTTCAATAAAAGATTTTGTTGGTCACTTTTTTCCAAGTCTGCTAAATATGTATCAGATGGCTTGCAAATAATTTATTTCTCTATGTAAATATTAAGTTTTCTGTTAGTTGGTCCACCTGCACTTTTTTGGTTGCCATGATAACAAATGTGATTAGGGAGAACTTTTCAGGAAGTGTGATGAGATGATAGCATGAAAGATGAAGATGTTTCAAGATAAAACTGTGATTTCCTCATGATTTTTGTATTTAATGTGACTAAAAAAACTAATACATGTAAATTTTCAGTGTTCACAAGTGGAGAATGTGACCAAAGGTGAGGTAGCTCAGCGCAAAGACAAAATAAAGCTGTCTAATAGAGCAAATCAGATTTAACAGAATTAGAGAACTGGCAATATCAAAAATTTATTATAAATTTATTGGCATTATCATACCTAGGTAATAGATGAGGTGTTGCTGGAAAAGTACATCATCCCTTTGTACAGTTTTTTCAATCGTAGATCCTCATAAATTTGGACTAAAAAACTTCTCGTGTAATAGATTAAATAAATTGGTGTTTTAAGACAAATTGATAAAAGATACTATCCTATACTTGTAATAATTTAAAAAAATCTTTGCAGTATTATACTGTAGTTTATATATAGTACTACTTACATTGGTTATGATGTAAATTCTTATGATACTTGTAATTTAAAAATATATGTGATGTAAAGATTAGCCTGTTCTATAATAAATATTGTAAAGATTCATTTATGATAAGCTGTGTTTTGATTCTGTTATCCTATTTTCAGCTACTGTAGATTATCATTATAATCAAGGGGGAAGCACTAAACTCGTAGCATTATAGCACCTGTGGAGGGATGTGGAAGGTATTCAGGCTTAATTCAGGGAACTGGAGCACAGATCAAATTCCCTAGATCAAGAGCCCCTCACCAGTGTCAAGGAACCTTCCTTGAGGGGAGCTACTTTAGAATGTTGATTTTGATGATCAGTGAGGTAGTTTCCTTCATTAATCATGTTTTGAGTTTGTGGAATTTGTTCAGGCCTATCATTTTGGAATAAGCTAATTCTGAAATTTGAAGTTGAATGAATTTTTCTGGTGGCAAAAATTTTCGTCTTAAGATTTAGAGGACATGATAAAGATAGAAAAATATTTGAAGGGTGTTTCATATAGTGGCTTGCAAAAATTAATCCTCTGTGGGCTGCCACCTTTTTAGGATGGTGTATTATTATTATAATCAAAAAGAAGCACTAAGCCACAAGGGCTATGCAGGGTAGGGAAGGAAGCGAGAGTATTGGGCAGTAGAAGGGGGGAGGGATGATCAGTAGGTTACAGAAAACAGCGGGCCAGGGGATAGTGCGGGGGTAGAGGGCAGCAAGAGATTGAGGTAGAAAGGGCTGAAGGTACCATCAGAGTTTGTGAAGTAAGTCAGTTGTTGTCAAAAAGTCAATGAGAGAGTCCGGATGAAAGGTGGGTCCATCAGCGAGAAGGGAAGGTAAAGAGAGAGCAGTGGAGCGAAGACGACGTTGGAGGTATATTCTGCGTGCTCATTGATAAAGTGGGCAGTCTAATAGAATGTGGCTAACCGATAATGGAACCTGACAATTCTCACAGAGAGGAGCAGTGCGCCTCTCCATGAGATAACCATGAGTAAGACGAATATGGCCAATGTGAAGACGGGAGAGAGTAGTCTCCCAACCTCGACACTGGTGACAAGAAGACGGCCAGTAACCTATTCTCAGTTTAATAGATTGAAGTTTGTTACCAAGCAGAGTAGACCAACGTTGTTGCCAACGGGTGTGAAGGTGGGTAGCTATTACAGCACAATAGTCCGTAAATGGAACACCTCTATATGAAACTGGTAGGTCATGTACTGCTGACCGCGCAGCAGTGTCTGCCTGTTCATTGCCTTGTACGTCAACATGACCAGGGACCCAACAAAAAACAATATCTTTATGCTTGGAAGAGATGCGGCATAGCCAAAGTTGGATACGGAGGACTAAGGGTTGAGGTATCAAATTTTTGTATAGCCTGTAAAGCACTAAGGGAGTCTGAGACAACCACAAATGATGACACAGGCATAGATGCAATACGGATAAGTGCTGCAAGAATGGCATACAATTCAGCAGTAAAGATACTAGCCGAAGATAGTAAATGCCCTTGTACGACACTGTCTGGAAATACTGCTGCGAATCCTACGCCGTCAGAAGACTTAGAGCCATCTGTGTACACTGCAATGGCATTAGAATGAGAGTGGAAGTGGTCAAGAAAAAGAGAGTGGGAAGCTACCGTAGACAGTTGGGCTTTCGAGCAAGGGAGTGAGAAAGAACAGACTCGAACAGCTGGAACTTCCCAGGGGAGTAGGGAAAAGGGAGATGCTACATGAACATAGAGAGGTGGTAATTGAAGAGAAGACGAGCGAATGTAGGCGAAGAGAGAAGGGACGGAGCAAACAGGGGTGGCGAACAAATAAAGAATGTCTACTAATATCGGTGACCATTCTATAAATGGAAGGATTGCGGAGATCATGAAAGCGTACATAGTAGCGAAGGCAATGGGCATCACAGCGATCGGATAAGGATGGAACGTTCGCTTCTGCATAGAGGCTCTCAACAGGGGAAGAGCGAAAAGCATCAAGGCATAAACGTAATCCTTGGTGATGAATGGGGTTAAGGCTAGAGAGAGTAGCAGGAGAGGCTGCTGAATAGATCTGGTCACCACAATCAAGTTTCGATAAAATGAGGGCGGAATGTAGGCGAAGGAGAGTTCGACGATCAGCTCCCCATGAAAGATGAGCAAGGGTTTTAAGAAGGTTAAGCCGGCTGTGACAAGTTGCCTTCAGAGAGGTAATGTGAGGTTTCCAGGATAACCTATGGTAAAAGAGGAGGCCTAGAAACCTGACTGTATCACGTTCAGGGATACGGGAGCCGTAGAGGTACAAAGGATGATCGGAGATGACAGAGCGTCTAGTGAAAGTAATTTGGTGAGTTTTGGTACTGGAAAATTTAAACCCATGTGTGGTGGCCCAATTGGAAACATGGTCGACCACATGTTGGAGAGAAACTGTAATGAGGTGACAGTCAGCGCCTGCACATGCAATAGCAAAGCCATCAACATAGAGTGATGACCAAATATTGGAAGGAAGACTAGAGGCCAAATCATTTATAGCAAGGAGAAAAAGTGTTGTGCTCAGAACACATCCCTGGGGGACACCTTCAGCTTGGATAAAGTCCGGGGAGAGCACATTATTAACCCGAACACGGAAATGTCTGTCAGTTAAAAAGTTCTTAAGGAAGGATGGTAGATTGCCTCTAAGGCCTAAGGAGTGGGCTTGGGCCAAAATATTATACCTCCAAGTTGTGTCATATGCCTTCTCAAGGTCAAAAAATATGGCAATAACTGAGTGGTTATTCGCAAAGGCATTACGAACATATGTATCCAAGCGTAGTAAGGGGTCTATGGTAGAACGGTCTTTACGAAAGCCATATTGACGAGTGGAGAGACTATTGTGTGTCTCTAAATACCACACTAAATGTCTATTTACCAGGCATTCCATCACTTTGCAAACTGCACTAGTAAGAGCAATGGGACGATAGTGGGAGGCTTCATGTCCTGTAGTACCCGGTTTGCAGAAAGGGAGAACAATGGCAGATTTCCACAGCTGTGGAAGAACTCCCTGTGACGAAATAAGATTGAAAAGGCGTAATAGGACTGCAAGGGCTGACTGATGTAAATGTTGTAGCATACGTATATGAATGTCATCGGGCCCAGCTGCCGATGCTCGGCAAGTTGAGAGTGTTGCCTCCAGTTCCTGAAGTGTAAAAGGCACATTATACTGTTCTTCTCTGAGAGAAGAAAAGTCCAAGGGTGCTAACTCTCTGGCAGACTTTGAGGAAAGAAACGAGGGGCATAGATGGAGCCCCTGAGAAATACGGACCAGATGATTGCCAATTTCATTGGCAACATCTAGTGGGTTTGCTATATCAACACCGGCAACCCGCAGAACAGGAGCCGGGTCAGAATATTTGCCACTCAGTTTTTGTACTTTTTTCCAGACTGCACTCATAGAGGAAGCAGAGGTGATGGTGGAGACACAATCTCGTCAGTAAGTGCGTTTAGCGTCACGGATGACACGGCGAGCGATTGCACGCTTCTGCTTAAAATCAAGAAGTCTCTCCGTGGTTCTATTGTACCGGTACATGCCCCATGCAGCGCATTTCAAACGTACTGCACGAGCACAAGCAGGAGACCACCAAGGCACGCATTTCTGAGAATGCCTGCCCGAAGTTTGGGGTATAGAATGAGAAGCTGCGGTTAAAACAGAGGACGAGAAGAGGTGTAAGAGCTCATCAATGGAGGACGAAGAAGGAACCTCACTAAAAACAGTTAGTTGTGAGTAAAGGTTCCAATTTGCCTGATCAAACTGCCAGCGTGGGTTACGAAGAGGTGGCGAATATGATGGGGAAGTAAGAATGATTGGGAAATGATCACTGTCATGTAAATCCGGGAGAACAGACCAGGTGAAGTCTAATGCGGTGGAGGAAGAGCAGACTGAGAGATCGATGCAAGAGAGAGTATGAGTCCGAGGATCAAAATGGGTGTGAGTACCTGTATTTAAAACATGGAGGGAGTGGGTAGCAAGAAAAGCCTCTAACTGAATGCCACGGGAATCACAGTGAGACCCCCCCAGAGGAAATGATGGGCATTAAAATCGCCAAGTAACAGAAGTGGTGGCAGTAATGACGAAACAAGAAAGGCAATATCTGGGATAGATAATGCCCGAGAAGGAGAGAGATACAAAGAACAGAGTGTATACCACCTATGCAAGTAGATACGGGCTGCTGTGTAATGCAGCGAAGTACGAACAGATAGTTGATGGTATGGAATATCAGTGCATAGAAGAAGGGCACTTTCATTAAAGGTCCTATCAGGAAAAGGATCTGAAGAATACAATAAATTATAGCTTGAGATATGATAGATAACGGCAGAGTGTAATTTTGGTTCCTGTAAGCAAACACCAACGGGAAAACTGGGAGAGCAACATCTGAAGCTCACCCCGATTACCCCTGAGGCCATGAATATTCCACTGTAAATAGGCCATGATTGGCAACGATAAAGACACCTGAAATCCGCATGTAAGGGTACCTATGGACTAGAGGGGTTAGAAAAGTCCACATGCAGTGGCAAAGGAAAACATTCAAGTAGCGAAGGAACGGTGCGTTGTGAAGAAAGGAGTTGCACAGATGGAGAAGAGGAAAGAGAAGGAACAGAGGGTGGATCAGTGTCCATTGATGGTTTGGTCTCTGCAATATATTCAGAGATTGCTTCAAGTGTTTCGGAGTTCAGAGACGTCATATGGGAGACAATATTGGAGATGGAAGGAGTAGTAGTTTGAGTAAAGATTGGAGCTGTAATGGACTGTACCAAGGTATGGGGGGGGGGGCGAAAGGGTGGAGGGTACTGGAGAAGTGTGGGAGGGGACAGAAGAGGCAGAAACCTGGGAGGTGGCAGAAGAGGAAGAAACGTGGGAGGGGACAGGGGAGGAAGGCACAGTACGAAGAGGAGGGTGAACCTCCACACTTGTAACAGAGCCAGTGAAAGGGGAAGACTCAGGTACAGAGACCGGGAAGGTAAAATGTGGAGGTGGATGAAGAGAAGGAGGGGTTAAAGGAGATTTTTTGGGCCTCTGAGAAGTAGAGGGACGATTGGGAGGAGGTGTCGTACGAGGTCTTGTTGATACCAGGGTTC